CCAGAGATGCGCGGAAGATGGTGGCGAGCACGCCAATCAGCGCGTTGAGCGTGATGCCTCCACTGCTGGTGCCGTTCCATCTAGGCACCTCTGCGTCTCTGAATGTTTGCAAGATGGCAACCATAGCCCCAAAGACGCCGAAAGCAAGCAGGAGAACGGCCAACTCGAGGCCCCAGGCCACGAAGGCGTTGGACCGGACATTGCTGCGTACGTCCTTTAGGTCTGTTGCGGGTGTTGGTAGTGCGGTATCTCGTATTAGCAGGCCGGTAGGTTTCGTAGATATCTCATTGTGGTCTCGGCTGTCATCTTCAGCGTTGATGAGCGAGACGGTCTCGCTGTTCAACCTTTGATCACGATGTTTGGTGTTTCGCGCGCTTTCTGGGACCTCCGTCGTTGAGGCTACTGGCTGTAACTCAACATGGGCCGTGTGCTCGTCTCCCAAGTGTGACATGGTGCTGCTGAAAAATCCAAGTATTTTGGAAGCACAAGTATAAAGCCATTGGTTTGTTTCTTCTTCTCCCTTCTAACTCTTGACATGAATGGTCTTCGGAAAATTCCTCTTGAGATGGCCATGGTTGCGGGATTTCGTTTAGACATGTTGTTAACTTCAGGTAACATCCAAATCTGCAACATCTACACTGCATGAATTTCGCCCCTACTACACCAAAGTGCCCTTTCAACCCCAGAGGGGCCATGCAACCCTTGATAATAGTGGTTTGCTCACAGTGCAGTCTCTATAATCGCCGTAAAGCGAGCCATACAAAGTTCATACAGAGGTAGTATTTGTGGAAAATAAGAGCCCCTGTGGCCTTTTCCAACCAGTCAAATGTCGCCTGCGGTTTCCTGCCTTTTCATCCTCCCATTACTTCTGCTTTTGGGTGCGGACATGAATATCAATCAGGTAATCAATGGAGCCGTTATGTCGCGTGACAGCTCGCCCAATCGAGTTGATAGCTATTGCAGGTGGTGATCCTCAGCTTCTCCCTCATTGCCCGAGCCTGGGATTAGCATAGCGATTTAAGTTTCGACTCCCAAGTAAGTGGCCAATTCAGTTTCTCTGCTAGAAAGTACAGATCACCCGAGGCCAGACTAGTCAATGTATATGAGATTAAAAATTTGGGAATAACCTCACACACGTAATTGTGGGTGGCGGATTCCCCCTCGTCACTAGAAAGTGACCCAAGTTAGAAGGCGGTGGTGATTGTCTGACGATCTTCGCATAATTCCCACGAGACACTCACCACTATGACATACCTACTGCTGCTCCTCCCAGCCTCCTCTTCGTCGGACCTAAGAACCGATGCAACCTCGGATTCGGCCAACCACCTCCTCAAGGGACTGTGGCAGGCGAGAGCTTGTTGGGTCCATTCGGGGGATTACAGTAGGGCTTAATGCACCGAGGCCAACCACCACCATCCAGCCACGGCACATTGAGCCTGTGAATAATCCACCGATCCCACCATGTGCAGATGTATTAATTTCGCCGTCCCCTGCTTGCTCGAAGGCTGCCTCTAAAGTCCCTAGCAGTCTCTAGCGAGTTTGCTAGTGCAGTGCGGGCCGCGCCAGTGGAGTGGACACAGCTTGGGACGGTCCTTCCTCGAGCGCTGGCTCAATTGCCGGCTCTCATCCATCATCTTCTCATCACCGTCGACAATTCCAAGACTGCAAAGGATCGCGACACGGGAAAGACGGTAGCAGGTGCATGGGATGCGACACACCACGACGCAGCCTGCAAATAAACTGCCCCGCGTGCTTGAAATTGGTTCGCTGTCTTCAATGCCCTGCCCGACACTAGTCATCCAAATGTCTTACCTCAAATGATGGTCTCGGAACAAGCAAGGGAAAAAAAGCAAAACAATGATGGCAATTTGACCAAGCAAGGGTTACGGAAGGCCGCACCTCCCAGGCCTTCTCCGCACTGCAGTCGGTGTCGAATCAGATCTACTGCTGGCTCAGCTCTCTTTTCCAAGGACAAGACAAGATGACCATCACGGGAGGCCTGATTTGCTGGGTCAATCAAGTCCTGGGCGGTGATTCGATCGTGTGTGCAGGGTTACAGGAGCCACTCAGCCACTCCAACTGGTTGATTGGATCGGATTGGTATGCTGATCCTGATTCCACGGAAAGCGGCCTCTTCCCACTAATGCATGCCGTCTCGGCAGATCATTAAGTATCTGGTCGCAACATTTTGCTCTTGCCAGAGCATCTCTCACGGACGAGGAGTCGCTCCAAGCGATCCAAGGCCCTGGGACGCGTCCTCAGACAACATGGCCGTAGCCACGCTCCCCTCAGGTAGCATTGATGGCTTTCCCTCCCACCCATCGGATGGTCACATCTGATGCCAATACATGTACAGCTGCATGGAGGTACTCTCCCCCCCGCGGGGACTAAACCTTCCTAGCTGCAGCCGGTATCCAGAAAGGATAAGCTTCCCATTATTGCCCAGCTGAACTGCGCAGGACAAGACTTGGCCTCCGTTGGTGGCGGTAGGTGAGACAGGAACCCAAGTCACTGACTGGGCATTCGTCAAATTGTGACGTGGAGGGCGGGTCATAATCAACCGAATGTTTGTCTTGCGGTGTAACGAGCCTATGAGGTGAGTTGCTTATGGGACATTGCATATCATGGCCGTCCTACGCAATCGTGGGCCGTCTCGTTGGCTGAAGCTCTGCCGCCTTCGCGTTTCTCCCCCCGTGCTGCCGGCACAGTAAACAAACATCACCCATCGACAGCGTTCTCTCCATCGTCTGAAAACATGTCGACGCCAATCCCCCAGCCCAAGCCTCTCCCCATTGTCGGAAACCTCTTTGACATCAAGGCGAGCAACACATGGGCCTCCCTCAAGAAGCTCGCAGAGACACATGGAGAGATCTTCCAGGTCAAGATCCTCGGCCGCACCATTGTCTTCGTCGCTGGTGCCAATCTGGCCGAGGAGATCTGCGACGAGAAGCGATTCAGAAAGCTCGTCAGCGGTCCCATCATCCAAATCCGTGCTGCCGTGCACGATGCCCTCTTCACGGCGTTCCACCACGAGGAGAGCTGGGGCATTGCGCACCGCATCATTGCCCCCAAGCTCTCGCCCCAGACCATGCCTGACCACTTTTACGAGATGCGGGACATCACCGCCGAGCTCGTGCAGCAGTGGAAGGACCTCGGCTCCAACAACACCATTACCCTCGTCGAGCAGCTGAACCGACTCAACCTCGAAGCCACCGCCTACACCCTCTTCGGCACCCGCTTGAACGGCCTCAAGGGCCCTGCCCACCCGATGCTACAAGCCATGGAGGACTCGACCTCTGAGGCCGTCCAGCGTCCCACTCGACCCGGAATCGTGAACTGGCTCCTCCACGGAAGCAAGTTCAAAAAGTCCATCGCCACCATGCGCAAGTTCGCCGCGGACGTGGTGGAGGAGCGCAAGAAGAACCCCACCGACCGCCAGGATCTCTTGGCCGCCATGATGAACCACAAGGACCCCGAGACGGGCAAGCCCCTCACCGACTCCCAGGTCATCGACGAGATCATTTCCATGCCCATCGGGAGCAGCACCGCCCCTTGCACCATCACCAGCATCGTCTACTACCTCCTCAAGAACCCCTCCGTCATCGACGCCGCCCGCCAGGAGATCGACTCGGTCGTCGGCGACGGCGACTTTCAGTTCGAGCACCTCGAGCAGCTCAAGTACGTCGAGGGCGTCGTCCGCGAGGGGCTCCGTCTCGGCAACCCTGCCCCCGGGTTCAACATCGAGCCTATCCCCAGCGACGACAAGAAGCCCATCCTCCTCGGCGGCGGCAAGTACGAGGTCGCGCACAACCAGGCCCTCATCCTCGTCCTCTCGGGCGTGAACCGCGACCCGGCCCTCTTCGAGGATCCCCTCACATTTAAGCCGGAGCGCATGATGGGCGACTCGTTCGCCAAGCTCCCAAAGGCCGCCACGCGGTGGTTCGGCAACGGCAAGAGGGAGTGCATCGGCAAGCACTACGCCTGGCAGTGGCTCGTGCAGACGACTGCGCAGATCCTGCGGGAGGTTGACTTTGAGCAGGTCGACCCCCACTACGACGTCGAGAAGGCTGGCATGGATGGCTGGTTCAATGTGCGGCCCATTGGGTACCAGGTCAGGGTCAAGTCGAGGGTCTTCTAAGTGACCCTGGGTCGTGGTGTGTCTGTTGTTTGGTCGCTGGATAATTTGGACCTTTTGAGTTGCTGATTCCCCCCTCGACAAGAAAACGAGATGTGCTGGACGTGCTTAAATCAGGTTTTAGACCTGTCATTTTGCACCTTCAGAAGTCTCTTGGCTTGTTTGTAATGTTGCTAATTACGTATCGTCATAAGATTGATGCTGCTGAATGATAATTACTATGATGGACTACTTACTCCGCGATTGAGGCCTACATGAAATGTGCTGCCATGATAATTGCAACGGCCCTCTCACCTTCGATAAGTTCGACACCTTGACCATGGCACCCTCCTCGAATGTCATTTTCAGAGGCATCGACATGGTTTCAAGACATTCAGCAAGCTAGAGCACAGCTAATCAAGTGGAATAAGGAGCTCTTTCGCATCTGCATGCACTCCCCAGCCCCAGTGGCGGCTCAATGCTCCAACGACAAACCCTCATTTATGTACGTCCATCCCTCTCGAGCACTCCCTCCAATCTGCTTATTTTCGTCGCACGATGCGGTAAGCACTGTCATCACGCTATTTCCAGGGCCGCTGAGCTTTTCGCCTTCACTGAAAACACAATCGCACGCAGTTTCCATTAATGTTAAAAAATGACCCTGTCTTAGAGCAGAACAGGAATACTTCGTAATCCCCACGTTGATCTCTCAATCTACCAAGCACATACGAATTCAAAGCAGATTTATCCAATTCGATAATAAACATATCCTCCCAGCGGTATATATAAACAACCTTTGACGCCAAAACACTCGCGAGTAAGTCAACAATTACATTAAACCACAAAATTACAAGCACAGCGATGGTAAAGAACTACGCCCCATCTTCTAGTACTTGTAATTGACCTTCCCCCTTTGTCGGAATTTGTACCGAAATTCCACGACGGGCTCCTCGACGGGACCTTCGACAGGCCCTTCGACAGACTCTTCCATAGACTTGTCCACGGGCTCATTGACTGGCGTCTCGACGCGGCGTCTCTTCGCCGGCTGCCTTCTAGCTGGCTGCCTTCTCGTCGGCTGTCTTCTGGTCGGCTGTGGAGGGGCTGGTTCCTCTTCCACCTCGTCGTCGTCCTCATTCGCCGCCGCTCTTTTCCGAGTCTTGCGCGACACGCTACTTCCGGCCGCGCCCGGAGCGATTTCCTGCTCTTGCAGCGCGCTGTTCGACATGTCCGACAAGAGCCTCCCCTCTTGCGAATTTCCGCCCTCCTGGAGGCCTAGAGGGTTTGCTAGTAGAAGGGGGCCAGATTGCTGACTCCCGTCGGCCCCGTTTCCTAGCTCTTGTAACGGCAAGCTCTGGACTAGGATCGGGGTAGGTTGTCGGACGGCACTCTGTGTCTGTCTATTACTTGGTGATTGAGTTGGGGGTAGTGGTTCCTCGTTTTCCTTGTTTCCACCTGATCCTCGGGTGGTGTTTGTGTTTGTACTGCTATCCCCCACGCCACCACTTGGTGATTGGGTTGGGGGCAGTGGTTCGTTATTTCCCTGGTTTCCACCTGATCCTCGGGTGGTGTTGGTATTTGTACTGCTATCCCCCTCACCACTACCTCCAGGCACCCCAGGGTCTGCCAGGGGTGACCATGGCGGCCCGTCTCCATTTTCATCTTCAATGGATTGCACAGGGATGTCCTCTGGTCGGATGTTCGCTTGAGAGAGGTTCGCCTGTGGGATGTGAACCTGAGGAGGGGGAACCTGAGGAGGGGGAACTTGAGGAGGGGGAACATGAGGAGGGGGGGCTTGTGGATGGTTTGCCTGTAGGGAGTGAACTGGAGGGAGGTGAATCTGAGGGGGATTCGCCTGTAGGAGTTGAACTGGGGGGAGGTGGACCTGAGGGAGGTTTTCTGGAGAGAGGTTTCCCTGTGGGATGTGAAGTTGAGGAGGGTGACTCTCGAGGGGGTGAAGATGGGGAGGGTGAAGCTGAGGGAGGTTTGCCTGAGGAGGCTGACCCTGAGGAGGCTGACCCTGAGGAGGCTGACCCTGAGAAGGCTGACCCTGAGGAGGCTGGACCTGTGGGAGGTTTGCCTGTGCGAGATTTGCCTGTGGAACGTCTCTTGGCACATTGTTCAACAGACGCCATAATATCCCCGCCGGCAGTCGTAACAGCGCATCTGGCTCTCTGTGGTGTCCGCGATCATCAACATTGTCAAGATAAAACCGGGCAGGATACTGGCCACCCGGCGATGGGTTCAACAGTCCCTCGGCTGGGAGCCACACCATTCCCGTGACCGGGATGCCAACCCATCCGTCCTCTACTCGCACACCCGGGGCAGTCCCTGGGGGCTGCTGAACGATCTCATCTCTCATGGCACTCAACTGCTCAGCCGACCCCCCCGGGTTTGCCAGTGCCTGGACCGCCGCCTGCGCCGCCCCATATAGTTGTCCATGTCCAGACACTTGCCCAAATGGCACTTGAGGCTGTCTGCCTGCAGGCTCATCTCCAAGTACAGCCACCGGGGCCAAGCCGCCCGAAGCCGCCGGAGCTAGCGGTGGTTCCTGCTCACCATCCCCTTCAAGTACGACCTCATCGTTCCCCTCAAGTACGGCTTCGTTCTCTTCCTCTGGGGTCGCACTAAATATTTGGTTTGGCCCATCTGATGATGCTTCTGAAAGGAAAGGGATGCTTTCATCGGAAGACTCCTGCTCAGCCAACAAGTGGTTCTGATTCCCCCCAGGAGAGTCAACTAATCCCCCATCCATGCCAGCAGGACCTGCTGGCCCCTCTCCGGCTTCTAATACCTGATCGTCGACGAAGCCTTCTGGTCCAGGTAAGGGGGTCCCCTCGTGGCCCGGCCGAGGCACTCTGAGGATCTGGTACCAATATGGAGCCTCGCTCTGCGTTGCTTTCATATTTTCATGTTGCTGCGGGTCGTGTACAATCTTCAGAAGGACACATGTGCTCTTCCACCTCTCCAGCGCCGTGTCAAAGCGAGCAAGCATATCCACGTTCTGGGGTACTGTGGTGTCGATGGTCGGCCTCCAGTCATACGGTGGGTTCGCTTGCGTGATCCACTGGCTATTGTCGTCCTCCAGAACCACCCTCACTCTTCCTCCCTCATTAAAGTAGGCTACTTGCGCGTCGTACAGACTCTGCGCCTCCTCATCGGTCAACCTAACGGCATTGCGGTCAGGGCCAATGAATTGCCTGTTAATTTCAACGTTGTAGCCGTTGATGGGGATAATGACATGAAAAAACTCTTTGAATCCTCGACACTTGATGATGCCGCCCGGGCCTCCGAAATTAACCCAAGAAACACATACGTCCTCGAAACTCACTTGGCAGCAGGTTCCATGGACAGCGCACAAAGTCACGTTATCGTCGTCCTGGTCGACATAATGTTCGCAGGTCCGCGGGTCTTCAAACGGATTGTATATATCATAGGTGAGTTCTGGGTGTCTAACCTCCAAAGTTGATATAAGACGGGTTTCGCAGTTGGTTATGTGTGTTGCTAGTCTGAAACACATGGTTTATGATTGAAGAGCTAATACGCCTCAAATCGCGTGAATGTAATATTCTCTATTTCTGTAACAGAAGTCATCTCACAACAAATCCAGTGTAACACTTTGAAAGTATTTATATAAACTACTTCCATATCACATCATGTTCACAGTTCGGGGACATTTCTTTCGTCCTTTGATCACAGACACATACACAAGCACATCTAATGATAGAATCCTTGAGGCTGACGGAACCGTTTCCTACAAAGAACACACAAATACAAACAAACGGTCGGTTCAAACCAGGTCATATATATATCTCTTAATATTTGTCTAATTTCTCAACATTGGGTGATTGTCAAATACAAAGCGATTGTCTTGGAGTTGCTAGACTCCATCCTTGTTTGTGAATACAAAGAGCGAGATGGGTCGGTTCAAAGACAATGGACTGCAAACAATGCAGGCTTGTTGTTTCGATTTAGTCTATTTGTCTTTCTCTTTCACAATGATTAAGCTCCAAATTGTCCATGTTCACTTTCATTCTTGGCGCTTCGCCGAGGTGTTGTATGTCAGTCACGACGAGACCAGCAGTGAGTCAAAACTCAGTCAAGGCCTGGAAACCCCCTTAGTCCTTGGTCCTACCATGACACTCTTGCTACAACATGGAGACAACTCAATAAAATCCTTATCATTCTCGGGCAATACATTTAATCATCACATAGGTTGGGGAGAACAAATACATGCATTTTTTCATCAACGGGTTTAGAAAGCCTAATGTACTAACACAACACTGACATGTGACTAGCATCACCAAACTTGGGTAGCCGAAAAGAGACTTGATCAGCAGTGTCCTAGGCGGAGGGCAGTACAGTACACCAACAATTAACGGGACTTATCAGTGATTGACAAATAAACTGTAATTCTCTCTATCTACCCAGTATCGTCTTTCCAGACGGTCAAATTCTAGTGATACATAGTGTCCTACTCCAATTGTTGACTCATTGCTTTTGTCATTTAAGGATATCTAAAATAAAAACCATTTCCCAAACGCCTTCGCTCTGTGACTAAAAGAAAAAAAAACTAAAGCAGACCAGGTAGTATCTTACTATGTATCTCAATAATCTCTCCGTTCTATGTGAAGCTCGCATTAAAATTAAGATCCATCACTTGAGAAAAGCCGCCTTATATGATATATGTATGGTTATACAATGAGATCAGGCTGGTCGCTTCTCTGAAGAAATAGTAATCTCAGGCCCTTGGTTTGGGCTGTTGTCACTCTCAGATTCAGGCTCGGGGGCAATGATGGCAGGAATCGCGGGGACATTCTGTTGTGCCGTTTGGGGGCCCTTCTTCTCGGACTCTGGCTCAGGCTCCCGTACCTCAGGGACGACAGTAGGCTCAGTAGACTCGGCAGTCTCCTCGTCGGTCTTCTTTGACTTCTTGAGGCGAGCAAAGAGTCGGCCAAAGGTGCTTCGCCAAGCCTTTCCAAGAGCGTTGTAGACGAGAACAAAGGGCTTTCCAACGAAATGGGCGATCTTGGCAAACAATTCGTCGGGGAAGCAACGAACCAAACAAGCCCATGGCAGGCAGAAGAGGGCGACGATAACGGAAATGCCCCACTGAGTTGCATCAAGACCATCTTCGGAGATCTGGAAAGCACGAGATCCAACGAAGATGATACATACCTGCAATCCGACCATGAGAATGTTGATCATAATAAAGAAGATGTTACGGTGAACACCTTCGAAAATGTTAAACTTGTTGTCAAGACGTCGGTTGTTGAATTCATTGAAAATCTGCATCCAGACGAAAGTGTTGAAGATGATTGTGTCCAAGTCGGTCTGAGCCTTGTCGTCTGTGGTATCATAACCAAGAATCTTATGGCCAGCAAAGTACAGCACAAGAGTGACAGCCATCTGGAAGATTGACTGTCCAATAATCATCTTCCACATGTTGGTGGTGATGAGGGGAGCCTTCTTGCCCTGAGGGGGTCGGTCGAGGATCTTCTCAGTTGGAGGGTCTGTCGCAAGTGCCAAGGCAGCAAAGGTGTCCATAATGAGGTTGACCCACAAGAGCTGGACAGCCTTGAGGACGGGCTTCATTTCAGAGTCGTAAACAGCAGTGATGAAGGCGAGGAGGACAGCAGTGATGTTGACCGTGATCTGGAACTGCAGAAACTTCTGGACAGCGTCGTTGACAGCGCGACCCCACTTGAGAGCAGTAATGATGGAGGTGAAGTTATCATCCATGAGGACGATTGCGGAAGCCTCCTTGGCGACCTCAGTACCAGAGATACCCATGGAGAATCCAACATCAGCAGCCTTGAGAGCAGGAGCATCATTGGTACCATCGCCAGTGACAGCAACAGTCTCGCCAAGTTCCTTCAACTTAGTCACAAGAATTCGCTTATCCTCAGGAGATGAACGAGCGAGGACTTGCAGATTAGGTAGAACCTTCTTGAACTCTTCGTCGCTGAGCTTCCTGAACTCGGGACCTTCCATGACAACACCACCCTCGGAGTAAATCCCACACTCGGTAGCGATTGCGCGAGCGGTGATGATGTTGTCACCAGTAACCATGCGAGTCTTGACACCAGCATGTCTAGCCTTAGCGACAGCCTCGGGAACACCGGGACGGACGGGATCCTGAATACCGACGAGACCAAAGAAAGTGAGACCCTTGAGAAGCGAGGCAAAGTCGGCGTGACCGTCTTCAACTTCAGCGTGAGCTGGAGGCCATGACGGGAAGTCCTTGTAGACGAGACCGATGGTGCGGAGGGATTGACTGGCGTAGCCATCAATGATGCCCCGAATGCGCTTTCGCTCTTCACGTGGGAAGGGAGTCTCCTCGAGAGTGTTGATATCACCCTTGGATGTACAGTGGCTGAGCAGAATCTCGGATGCGCCCTTGATGAGGAGACGGTAAGTTCCAGAGCCACGCAGCTTGATAGCGGCACCCATGCACTTCTTCTTGGAGTCGAATGGGAACATCTGGACGACTTCTTCGTTGTTGCGAGCCTCAGAGAGGGAACCAAGACCCAGATGGTCACGAGCGAGTTGGAGAAGAGCAGTCTCAGTCTTGGATCCGATGAAGGTAGCCTGGCCATTCTCCTCGCCTTCAAAAGCAGTCGAGTTGATGGCAACGGATTGAACAATGGCCTTCTTGGTGTCCTCGGGAAGGCTCTCCGCCCATTCAGCAATGGTCATGTCAGCGGGCTTCTCGGAATCAGCCTTGGTAAAGCTAGCAGAGCCGAATGTACCAGCCACGACAGTCATTTTGTTCGTTGTCAAGGTGCCGGTCTTGTCGGAGCAGATGGTGGTGGCATTTCCCATGGTTTCGCAAGCTCGAAGAACTCTCACCAGGTTATTCTCCCGAAGCATTCTTGTAGTAGCAAAGGCGAGTGCGAGAGTGACGGCGAGGGGCAAACCCTCAGGGACAGCAACGACAATGATAGTAATGGCAACAATAAGAATGTCCATGAAAGCGGACGCCTTCTGTGTGGGCAGACGATCGTCATTAGGCAGGTTGCCAATAAAGCGGAAGAGCAAAACGAAGAACAGCAGGCCGGCAGCGGCGCTACCAAACTTGGCGATACCCATGGCCAGGCGTTCCAGCTTCTTCTGGAGAGGAGTGGCTTCCATTTCAGTTCGAACAGACATCATGATCTTGCCGAAAGAGCTGTTAACACCGACAGAGGTTGCAACAAATGTGCCCATACCCTCAAGGACCTTGGCGCCCGAGATGATGAAGGGGTCCAAGTCAGCCTTGCTGTGGCCAGCCTCGAGCGCCTTCATGACTTGCTCGCCGCCTGTCTTCTTGATTGCGTCAGATTCGCCGGTAGCTGAGGACTCATCGCACTTCAGATCATGTCCATCAATGAAGATACCGTCAACGGGGATGAGGTCTCCAGGTTCGAGGTGCAAGACATCTCCGACCAAGATGTCATGAACGTTGATCATATAAGACTTTCCAGAGCGAAGAACCTTGATCTCTCGATCTTCCTTCTTGGCATTGAGCTTCACAAAAGCTCTCTCCTTTTGATAATCATTCAGACCTCCAACAACTGTAACAATGATAATAGCAACACAGATCGCGACACCTTCGACCCAATCGAGGGGCATGGGAGAACCAGGCTCATGTTCGACGCCAAAGGTTTCGTACAGGCCCAATGCCAAGGAGATGGCGGCAGCGACAGTCAAGAGAATCAGGACGGTGTCGTTGTATGCATTCCACATCAGCTTCAGCAGCGACGTGGGCTTCTTCGCGGGGAGGACATTGCGCTTGAACACTCGAATTCGGTCGGCGAAGCTCTCAGAGGATGTGCTAGGTGTCGATTGTTGGGGAACGGGCTTTTCGCTTTGCTGGGAGCCGGCTGCGACAGCCTGGTCGAAGGTGGTCTTGTAGGGGGCGTTGGTTTCGTCGATTGAGAGACCGGCGTGGAGGTCGGTTTGTAGTCCATAAGCGATCCCCTTCACGCCGCCGAGGGCCTTGTACGCCGACAGGGACTTGGGGTTGAGGAGCTTATTGAAATGGCCTGGTGCGAAGCCGAATGGGTTGTTCTCGACGTGGAAATCGCCTTCGGTTCCGGGGTCTGGTCGTAATGCGATCTCGGGCTCTTCGATTAAACTCGATATTACGCTCGTCGCGGCTGGCGTTAAGAAGGGATCGGAAACGCCAGAGATACCGGTTGCGACCGTCTCGGCGTTGCTGTAAGCTCGCTCTCGACCAGGGCCGCCGACCTGCAGCGTTGCTGATGACGGCGACAGGCTGCTGTTGTGATGGCTAGAGACGCCTGACACGCCTGATCTGACAGTCTCGGCAGTGCTATGTGCCCTTTCTCGAGAGCCGACCTGTAATGTTGCGGCAGTTGGCGACAGGCTGTCGTTTTGGTTGGGATTTGAAGTCGCCATGGTGGATGGCGTTGTGGCGGCGTTGTAGCGTGTTGTAACGCCTGAGAAACTAGAGTTGGAAGATATTCTGTGCTCTAGAAAGGTGCAAGGAGAGTGTCGGAAGGTGGGAGGACTGAAATATTATACCACATCCGGAGGCAGCCTGATCCGCAGCAGTCAATGTTCTTCACACTGGTGGTGTGTGGCTGAGCTGGATGCGAACAAGAAGAGGCGTGTAAGGAGTGGCAATAGTAGAACAAAGTAGGTTGGGATCAAAGGAGGCAGGTCACCAGACAGTGGAGCTCGATTGATAGCGTAGGTTCATGGTCTAGCCATCGGGCAGAGATGGTGACTGAGGAGACAGAAGCTTGTCTTCTCGAGGGAGAATGGAGATGCCAAAAAAGAGGTTGAAGGAAGAAGTCGCGGCACAGCAAAAGACTGTGGTAGCCCCTGGCAGGATCAGGTACCTCCAAGTACCTTCCCTCTGCTCGCTGAGAGCCCACTAACGCCCCTTGGCTGGGTCCACTGAATATGCTTAGTGCAGCAGGGGCAGGCCATTGGCCAGCACGGCGTCTAGCGAGGATTGGGGGGGAGGCCTCTAGCCACGTCCAGCGGAGGGCCAAGGCGATCTCCGTGTCCTCCCCTGGCTCCCCTGGGCGGCTTTCCCAGTGCTACCTCTGGGTACTTGTCGCTGGCAACAGGTACGGTCAGCGGTTCCTGGAGATCTCAATCTAGATGCCAAAGCTTAATTGCCGGCAGAAGAACTAACATCGTGTCAGCAGAGAAAGCGTGTGCTACGGGATAGAAGCTTTCTCTTTGTCCGTTCGCAAACCCAAATGCCAGCATCTGTGTTCCAAAACACTCCCCTCCCGTCGACCCAATCACGATTGCTCCGGGACTGGTCGTTGCGGTAATGAGTTACAGCCAGGGTGGTGGAGAATTTTTTGCACAGCCCCCTTCCTGAGTGATTTCGATGCATGACCGTCCGAAGAGAGCCTGCACGGCCCTCATTCGCTCCCGCCCGCCAGTTTTCCTTGCCGCCTCAGGAGAATGAGTGTCTGGGATGATGACAACGCACACGCGTGCGTAGGCTCTGACGCTGAGGCCTGGGATCTGGGCTCCATTGTAGCCGCCGTTGCCATAGCCCTGAGCACGGCGAGACGCCTGGCAATAAATGGAGAGCAGCGACGACGCCTTGGAGTCATACTGAGGGAAGTCTTGGGCTGTGCAAGGCTTAATGAGAAGCTGTGACCTGCCGTCAGGCGGCCATGTGCAAAATTGGTCAGCCAAACGACAGAAAGCCAACGCCTTCGAGAACAAAAGTGGGCGACGGGGTTCTGTTGGGGTCCGTCCCCTTCGTCTCTGACGAACTGGACTGAATAGGATGTCTACTCCGCACCTGGAGCCTTCAATCTGCTCCCCATCCATCTGCAAATGCAGGGTATCAAAGCTTGGCACGCAAGCCGCTGATACGGTGGCTTCATTCCCTCGTGTGCTAGACCACTCCCGTCATCTGGTGCTGTGACGGCCAAAACAAGGTTAATTCTAATTTTCCAGTTGTCTGCCCACGGCCAGGGTCGTGCGATCGCGCCAAGCACGCAGCCAGCTGCAGACCGGCGAGCCAGCAGACATCATTTCTACGCTCAGGTGCAGCGCTAATGTCATCGATGCGGTCACCAAGCTTGATTGCTACCCATCCAGGCCATCTGTCCCAGCGTCGCTGCCCGGTTGAGTGATGCGAGCCAGCCGAAACCCCCACTCCACCAACATTGTCCACGGACATGCAGGTATTATCCGCACAACGGACGCCGATCATTTAGAGGTGTAATCTCTATCTCTTCTCCGTGCCATGGACACGCATGTGTGGTCGGGCATCGGCATAATCCGCCACTGCATGCGTGTTCAAACACGGTCGAGATCTAGGGCCAAGCCACATCTTCAGCCGGGAGTCTGTGGCGCAGGCAGTGGCTGGTGCGGTTCAGTCCTCCAGGCAACCAGATTCCCCAAAACCGCGGAGAGCCGTGAGTAAGCAGAGTCTTGAGAGTGTGGACGGATGCCTCCCGCCCACAATCCGAAGATTCATGGGCCGTGCGTCGATCCCGAGGTGGGAGTGCATTTGCCATGTTGTGTCTTGGCTTGCTTGGCATCCAAATCATGTCCAGCTTCTCCACAATTGAGGCTGTGTTCAGTGCACATCGCTGTTTTACTCGATGATGCCATGCAAACTGGGTTTTCTCTCTGCACAACTGAATCATAATATCGCCCCTCTCGTGTTCTGGTTGGCTGCTCGGCCATGTACCCTTGGGTAACTGCGTAGGTAACTCCTCATACTAACTGCATTCTCGGAGTACTAATGTACGTATTACCTGATGGCTGGCCTCTCCCTATCCCGTGAGAACTCTGATCATAAGCGGTCAATCTTCCCCTCAATAATCCCACCCAGAACGGACGATTTCAGAACCTGTAATTACCTCATTACGTCAATAGAGACGCTTTCCAATTTCTCGTAGCTCTATCGAAGCGGGGGAGCACTACCTACCTCATCCGGGACGGCATCCCTGGGGAACTTCTCCATGAGGCCCTCCTCATCTCATCACAATATACCCCGGTCTCCCAAGAGGGCCTAATGATCATTTCCATAAGTCTTTGCACCAGATAGAGGGCCACTTTCATTTCCAGCTTCATACCACTCCCCACAACCTGCCCATTCCTAAGAACCCACATTCCGTAGAGCCAAGGGCATATTTCAACGTCTACACGACGGGCTGTCCAACAACAGACAAAACGAGATGAGACATGGATCGTTTGTGAATCCAGCTTACACAATTAGTGCGGGCCTAATCAGGGCCAGCCCAACATTTTGGCTCCCGTTCATGCACCGGATGTTGAATACGCTGTCCGATTCCGCTGCACAGCCACCGCCAAATAAGGTCTAGATGACGTGGAAACGGCAGGTATAATGTACGCACAAGTAATAATCCAATAATTCATCTCGCCACTTGGCACAGGATCAGGCTATCGCCTGCCGTAGTTTGTTGGCTGCCTCTTCCATGGCGATATCGACGATGCCGCCATCTAGACGCCATTCCCACCAACCTCCTCATGATCGACCACGTTAGCTGCAGCAATATTCACATGGCCGTGGCAAAACAAACTCATTCTGAAGCTCCACAATTACCAGAAAGACCAAGCTCCCTCTTCACAGCCTCAATGGGGGCAAACCCAATGCGTAGTCCAAGCCTATAGTCCCGGCGGAGGAGGTCCTCCAAGTGAGGCCTCGTCCCGCTCCCCGGTGAACCTTGCTCGCAAAAAGTCAAATCCTCCCCAATATCTACCTACACCGTCGTTTATGGTCCGGCCCGATAGTAACCTTCCTTGAGGGGAGCGGCCGCATCCCAAGGGTTCGTCACCGGGAAGAGGGGAGTGACCACATCACGAACCCCACGGCATGCATCATCGACGAGGCTTGGCGGGCTGTGATGAGACAACAAAATACCTTCCACCCATAGACACTGTCGGTTATACTAGCTAATTTTCTGCAAGGGTTATAAACACACCACTGCAAAACTCTTTCATCAGAGCCTAGAGCGGGCTTACTTCTTCACAGCCCCAAAGCAACGTCCTCTGTTTCCACTTTTCATCTCTCTCGCTTTAGGATCAGATTCTAGGAGAACGAGGTATAATTTAACCCTTGATAGCTTCTACCATGTCTACTTGCCCGGGTGGAGGCCATGTATGGACAGCGGTGTGGAAATCGTAAACAACGTATGACTATACTAACTCCATATTCAGTAACATACTTTCACTCGCATGCGGGCTGTGTACGCTGTCAGGGTTATCAAGAAAAAAGGTACTTCTGCCTCGGTGTAGCTCTAATTCGTGGTGGATTACGGTTACATTACTACTACTATCTAACGGGTCTGACTGGCCGGCTTACAGCCACATCATTAATCACCTCCATCATCATCATCATCATCACGGCAAAAGGACCTGACTTGCCTATTCCAGGCTGAAGCCGTTGATTAGTTTCATCAACATCGCTGCAAATGGAATTTAGCTTACCTGCTCAAGCCTACAGCTATTAAGCCATACAAACAAATAAGTTGTTGAAATACTGTATGTTTAGTTAAGCTAAACATCATCCCCTAGGACTATCTATAAACTCCGCCTACGCTCGTGATAGGAGTGGCAATATTGCTCTGAACACGCTAAGTCCTGAACACTCAGAAAACTATCCTCATCTTCAGTCCATCCTTCTGTACAATCTCGTCCTCCTTATTCATTAGTTCCTCCATGTCCCATGGACAGCTCACGTATCTACCACCCAGCCACTCCTGGCGCTCAGCAGCCAGCCATGCAATTGTATCTCCAGCTATGTCCGGGCTATCAGGCAGTGCATCTCGCACCTGCGCAGGTGCGTTCTCGGTAATCTTCGTCTTGATAGCACCCGGGTTAACACAAAACGTCCAGAGTCCCTGATCATCATATTCTAGTTGCAAGATCTCGGTCCATCTCAGAACCGCAAGCTTCGAACTTCGATCACTCCCGCTCCCGGGACGAGCGCTCAGGGCGCCTGAAGAGGCCACGTTGATAACTGTACATGATCCGTTGGCACTGGCACGGGTTGAGAGTTGCAAGGGGAGGAACGCGCGGGTCATGTTCAAGAGTCCGCGGACGTTGACTTCCCATGGTCGCCAAGCATCGCCTGGGTCCAAGTCGAGGAGTGGCTTCGTTGGTTCCATGTAGGCCGCATTGTTCACGACAATATCCAAATGCTGGCTAAACCCCTGTGACACTACGTCATATAATGCTTAGACGCTGTCCTTGCTGGCGATGTCGACCGTACAGCCCAACACCAGAGGCTCAGGGCGTCCGGCTTGCGTTGCAACTGCCTTCAACTTGGCGACGATATCTTCAGACACGCCGTGTAGGTCAGCTACTGCGATCGCGGACGCTCCCGCACTCGCGAAGGCTGTGGCTATGGCATATCCGACTCCGTCTTCCCAAGCTGCGCCAGTGATGAGAACATGTTTACCGTCTAGGTTCAATTTCAGTGGAGAGATATAGTCATAGGTTTGTGAAATGGTGTAAGTAGCCGCTGCCTAGCTCCCTTATACCAGACATCGTTGCTGACAAGTAGAAGACCAAACATAAAGCAGCAATCCGCAGTGCATCCCGGTGGAATTCTCTACAGCCCTAAGCGTCTTTACCTACCTGGGTAATTGAAGGTGTCAACAGTGAAAACAATTAAAGGAGCGTAAAGTTATTTGCTTGCCCAGGTGCGCGTTTTTGACAACTTCCGAATTATCCCTACGAGATAAGACTTTGGTTCACTCGTTGACGGAAATGTTGTGTATATCCTTTCAGTGATGTCAGCCCAGGCCTTGAAATGCCGACCCTCCGATGCTGTTACAAAGAGAGATTCATATCTATTCTTAGAATATCTTTACTTGATAAGATTATTTTCAATTTTTTTCACCTCTTATTAATCTTTATTTAATAGTATAAGCTTAAGTGAGAAGTATGTATCCAAAGCTCCTCGTCCTTGAATCACCGCCCTGAAATCAATTCATTCACGTTCCAGCATCTCGAACTTGGCAAACTCAACAAATCAAAAATCGGCCGCTTCGGGTAAAGCTAGGTAGACGATCGCAGGCGCATCTAGATTTACTAGCAAGTGGGTGGCAGAAGAAATGAAACACCCCATGGAAGAGTGGTTCGACTTTCGAAGATAAATCAAGAAATTCCGTAGTATAAAAAGGAAGAAAGTAATAATATTTGCATATTATCTCTCAAGGATGTATTAGTTATACTCAATAATTTGATAATACCGGTTGTAGACTCGGCAATAAGCAGCTTAAAGCTTGAGAGTCTCGATTTCACTGGGTTCTCTATTGTAAACACATTGCTAGCAGTGCCTGAGAGATTTGTGCGTTTAGGCAACTCTAAATCACCAAAATTAGGTTATTTCTATCAAATTGATGGCTGAATGATTTTATCTCATGTATAACAATTGATCGGAGAATGAAGGCCTCCATCTAGTCTGTTCACTCAGGCGTCTCTTCTCCTGTTGATTCAACCTTGCGAGCTTAGCTTGATCGGCAAGCCTTTCTTTTCAAACTCCCCGCAACCCTTTCTGTTAAATCCAACATCAATAATTACGACGGCCGAATTGCCTTCTAAGCGGACTTTAGATTCGGTGTTCTAAAAACCCCGATTTTGCACTGCCTAGTTCGAAAGACTTACATGGCGAGTATAGGGTAGTAGTGATGGATGTAAGCGCCTAAGTCCACAAAGTCCACCACCATTGTTTCGTTTAACTCAGCCTCTGCCAAGGCAGAATCAGGGGTTTCGGAGGCCCGGATATGCTGACATCAAAGTTTGCAATCTGGCTCGGCTGATTTGTTAAAGGGACACGAGGGCGTGTCACTGCTGAGAGGTTATGAGGGCTTTATTGTTGCCTCGGCTGAGTAGGGAAGAAACTGCGCCACGGTGACATGCAATTTAGGGCATCAGACTGCCCCCCCTTGAAATTGGGCTAGGAGGCTCCCATTATTCATTGGGCCTTTGAGATAGTCACTTGTCCATTACCATCTCAAATGATAATCTCGGTCACGACAGTGTGCTAGAGTAAGAACAGCCTAAAAAAGGATTAGAAAAACGATTTCATACTGAGTAAATGCGTGTATCCCATAGTTCAATTCACTGCGAATGAGGAGTCTTGGTTGATAGTTGAAGGCCTCTGCAGTATATCGTTGTGATAAGAAGTGGGCGCGGGTTATTCGAATGACGTACTGATCCTGTTAGTTGCTTTGAAATTTCCCCGTTTTCGCATGGGAAAGATGGCTAAGAGAAAGATGGCTAAGAGAAAGATGGCCAAGACATAAAGAACAACGTTCTGCGATTTGGTTTGCCGACTTGGGTACGAGCCCATAGATCTCGATAGCAGCTTCAGGGAACCATGTAGCCTGTATACAATGTCTATCGTCAAATCATATGACTTGTATCTAGCCCTTGTTGAGAGAAGTATTTTGACAAAAGGTAAGTTTAACGATTCCGTCGTTGCAACAGCTGCCGCTGGATGATCATGAGGGAGCCTCCGGAGAAGGGTAAGAGAGTCACAATGGCGAAAGCAAACTCGGTTCGCTCTCAACCTGAAGTATAGTTGGCTCCACTGGTCCTCGTATTAGTTGAAAGTACTAATATCAATTCTGGAAGGTAAGTATTATAGTTATATTAACGTCTTAAGTGCCCGGGGCAGCCGCTATTCTACTCATTTTCCGCACTAGTAATGTTCATTTGGGCCAAGAATTTCATAATAAAGGAAATGTGCCTGCTTTCATAACGCCTGCTCCAACCCAACCTGGTATATCGTACAGAATATAATGGGAAAATAAAACCCCACGAAGCGAGGGGAATCTATTCAGAGAGCGATTCCGACTGCTAGCTCGTTTGTCGTGCTGCCGTTTGGCATGTTGCCGTTCCCTATGATGGCGAACCACTGCTCGCCAATATCTGAATCAGACTCAATCGAGTCTTTCCGTCTAATGTCTGCTAATCCGGGCACGAGATCTATATTCTGATCCATCTCGCGCTCAAGGAAAGCATCCGACTCTTCCATGACATCCATCATATTTTGCATCGGTCCTTTATAGAAGTCGGACCCTTGGGCAACAAGGTTGTTCATCTCTCTCCAGGTAGGTAAAATGCCTTTCCTCCAATTCAGGATCCTTTGTCGAGTGTCTAGAATCCACTTGAACCGCTCAACAACAGGATTCGAGACAGGACAGAGGCGTAGCCGGATCTCGATCTGGGACAAGTGATAGTTGAGTTGCTTCTCCCACTCCGATGTCTCGTCATCCCTCCAAACATTTGCGAATAACCACCGCTGTGCCTTGAGATATACGCTCTGGAGCTCGAAGATGCCGTAGCCCTCGGGGAAGGTTTCATGGTTGACAGGGACACAATCAGGACAGAGGTCAAAGCAGCGCGGACACTTGATCTCTTTCCCGAAGAGCAGCCTGCAGCCGATATACTTGTCTGTCGGCAAGCCCACCTCTACAATCTTGGCATGACATGGGCATGGCTTGAGTTCCGATGAAGCCAGACATGCCTGGGCGCCGCACCAAATCTCAAATTTCGGTACGCCATTGAACTCCCTTTTGGACATATTGGCGAGCGAAGACTTGCACTTGCCGCAGCGAAACATATCTAGATAACCCTGAGAGGCGGCTTCACATTTCATCAACATCAATGAGTTGCGTTTAAAGGTCAGGGTACAGATGTCTTTGGCTTACCTAGGTTTAATTGACCCGCGCCCATCTTGTTTTGGATATCCTTCTCAATGTCAGCCTTTCAACATATCAAGTCTGCTAACAGGGCACCACGCAGGGTAGACGTACCTCGTCCTCATCGAAAGACTCAAGTATTACGTTGTGGCAAGGCACTCCGTTCGAGTGAAAGAGGTAGAGCTCATTTTCACTGAGCTTCAGCTGGCTTAGATCACCCAGAGTGTGGACCGAATTTTCCGACCTGATGCTTCTGGCATCATCTGGCTGCTGACTCAAGGTAGGAGACAAAGCCGGTCCAAAGGGAGTGTGCGGTGCTGTTGGGACATTGATCGGACTGGGCGACCTCCTGCCTATATCGGAGGGCCTCCTTTCTGGATCTAATGCCTTTGTGACAGGACTTAGAGCCTTCTTCAAACTGTTGAGAACGCGAGTAGCGCCTTTCTTCGAGGGGGTGGGTGGCACCGGGCCATAAACATAGGACGGCAGAGGTGCAGGAGAAGGAACAGGCGTGATCCGCAGCGTCGGGTGTGATGGTTGAGAGTCTTGCTCATCCTGCTCGGTCTGGACGGGGCCGATTTCTTCTTCGGTGCTTCCAAACTGGTAGTGCTGAGAGTTGCGCAAATCCGTGGAAAAAAGAGGTAATGCGATGACAGAGATTCTAGAAACATCGCCTAGACTCAGACACGACATCCTGGAGAAGAGAGACCAGGCATGAGGATTCATAACGGACGAGCGAAAAGAAACGTCATCCAAATCCCATTTCGGCGCTCGCCGATACGCCCGAGAGCTCTCCAGCGCAGCTTCAAAGGCAAACCGGGCCACAACGTTGACGGCCTTCTCTTCATCCGTCTCTTCGACAGGTTCCTCCGCTACGGTACTCGGAATGATGACAGAATCAGGCCGTGACACCAAGGCTGCATAAGATGCTCGTCTGAGAGCGGAGAGCGGTCTAATGGTAGAATTGTCGTCTCCTCCGTTCTCATCGTCTCCCTTCGCAAGCGATCTTTCTGATTTCGTGCTGACGCTACGCCGATTTAGATGGGCGACGTTGCCGCTGATTGTTTTGGTGAGCTCAGAGAGCCCGGCTAGAGCCTTCTGGACCTCGAGCAGAGATTCACTGAGGAAAATTAGCCTTGGTAATCATGAGTTTAGCAAAAGAGATTGGGAAAGTCCCCTACTTGGACAGGATAGTAAGCATGAGGCCCAGAGAAGACTGCGCATCGTGAACTCGCTTAGACAGAGCCTCGATGCGCTTGTCCTTCATCACCCACTCCAACCGAGCGACAAGATCCAATGGCTTCAGATTCGGGTCCGAGAGTGGCTTCAACAGACTCTCCAATTCGTCAAGTGATGTGATACAATCTGTAAACGTGTTCTGGGTGTCGTCTAGCGGAATGTACACCCCTCTGTCGCGCAGATGGTTTTGGCTGTCCAGCAGCTGCTGGAAGCGAACCATGTTGGACCGCATCATACGCACATCCCGCAGGGTGGCGACGGCCTGCTGAGGGGCATCCTTGACCTTTGCCGCCGTGGACACGGCATGATCAAGGACTGTGAGGACATCGGACGCGGCGGAGATGCTGCCGGCGACGGCGCCAAGAACGGTGAGAGCCTGCATCGGCGGCAACGAACGATGCGACGTTGGTGAATGGAGGGAAGGGAGAACCGTCCATATTGGTGCCCGGCATCGCGGTTTTACAGGCCAGACACAGACCCTCTTTATGATCACGCCCGCTGGAGAAGTGAGGCTGAAGTGGGCGAGATGGTGGTCAGCAACCCCGATTTTCCAGGGGTTGTTTTGGGTGAAGGTTGCAGCACCGCCACAGAAATGATGTCTGTAAAATTAACAAGGCGTCCTTGGCCGGGGTGTATGCGGCTTGCTTGATACTTTCATCGATATGTCTAAAGAAGTAGATAGTAGCTCCTTAATCTCTTCGCTTTGCCCCAAACGTGTATTATATTAGACAAGCCGTGGAGTGAGTAGGATTTGAGAACTTGAAGTCATGTGTTTCCGTCAATGTAAAAGACCGGCTAATCTCAACCCCTGGCCACACATTTGTGTGAACATTTTTCATTTGTTTCTAGAATTGATTTCAAAGGCTAATTCAAGGCACGCATATTACCTGAAAAAGCCCTTTGGTCTTAGTCTGCTTTAATTAAATATTACGGTAGTGCGAGGAGGTCCTGGATTTGTGGATTCGTGGCAGTTTATTTTCCGTGTCATCAAATTTGGCTGTTGTCATTCCTAGAAAACACTGATAACTACAATTCTAAAAAGGACAATAATAAAACCCTCCCAGATTCTACCAATTTTTGTGAACTCCACTACTCTATATTTCCTTATTCCCCTGCTGAGCTTCCTTCTTTCCCAGTTCGGCTTCCCTCTTCTCTAGCTCGGCTTCTTTCTTCTCCAGCTCGGCTTCCTTCATCGCATCCAAGGCTTGCTGAATCCGATTTGCAGTGGTGGGATAATCCGCAGCAATCTGTGTCAAGCGCTTCTTCCAAAACTCCCATCTCTCAATGCTTTGCTTGGGAATGTCACCAAGCAACGGGCCAGGATCTGGAATGGTGTTTTCTGGGCTGTCTTTGGAGGCGACGGCCTTGAAAATCCGACGGCCGCAGTGAATGATCCACTCAGTCCCTGTCCAGATCTTGCACTCCGCCAAAGGCAATTGGGAATCTGACTCTGGAGGGACTACTTCTAGAGCACCCCCCACTTGTCCCAATCCCAAGCGAAGGAAAAAGAGATAATCGTCACCGGGCAGCCTTGCAAGAAATGAGTTTAGATTCTTCCATCTCTCGAGTACATCAGTCAAGGGAGGGTGGTCAGGATCCAAGAAAATAGGGTCTGGTAGAGTATTAGCAGGAAATATGGTCATAGGGGAAAACAGGCCACGCACTTTCATGTCCTTGCCAATGCTCCGTAAGAGTTAAGGTTAAGTCAGGAAGATCCTTCAATGAGCCCTGCGATTTCCCCCAGGTTAGCTTCAGGCACTTCCTGGACAAGCTTCCAAAGCTAGTCTCGCTAGGAGGACATACCGTAGTTCCCTGGGCAATAGAATCATCCAATTGACGTAAAAGACGTAAGGACTGGATCAGGGTAGCCTGCCACTCGTGACCTGGTTGAATGCACGAACCGAGGGCGAGGACGGCGGGCCATATCTCCCAAAATGGAGGCTCAGCTGTTGATGTACAGAAGAAGATAATGTCATTAACAAGCTTCTGAGATCTTGCCTCTGAACTGGCGGGATATTGAAGTGTGCTCCTCAAGACATTGAAGATGGCCTCTTCTTTGTGTGCGAGATTAAGCGTCTTTTCTAAGTCTGCGTCCATTTTCAAGTGCAAAGGTACGACAGGGTGATGGTAGTTGGGTTGAGTTAGCAGAGATAGAGAGAGTGATGGTGGTGATGGTGAGATGAAGAAGTGATGCTGGCAAACCCGAGTAGAGTGGGCTGATCCTTGGCTAAGTATGCGTATGCTCTCAATTCTATTTGCTAGGTGAAGATGAGATGTGCCTGAAAGGTTGCCAGTCCAAAAGAGGGGCAGAGGGAAATGCCTCCGCCTCATTGCCAACAATGCACAGTGTGTAGATACAGCCCCCGGCGCTTAATAACAGCCCGGGCCTGGTGGCTCTATTGATTGGTTGATGGTGGATAGGTTGGTGGGTCTGTGATTGGCGTGATGTCCCAACAGTGAGGCTATGCGGGCAGGCTGCAGGAGGCATTAATTAATGTATGAATTCAGAAGTTGAGACCGGCGTTTGCATTGACCCACGTTGCATTGGGAGCCGCCGGCAGCCTACATGAACTGGTGAGGGGGAGCCGTTGCCTAGACCGATCTTTATGACCTTTGTCGCCAATCAAACTCTGAGCCCCTGGCAGGCTGAGACAAACTAGCCATGGGGAAGGCTGGGCCTGGCTGCAGTTACGGTCGCAGTGAAGAGCGCCGGCGCGTAAAACCAGACGCCGGCGCTTGCGATCAGTTGCATGCATGAAGTTATCTTTGGGGTTGAGGTCGGCCGTTTATTGGTGGCTCGTGAGGCAGGTCGGGTAATGAGACGCGGTTAAACGGAGGTGCAGCCTGCAAACCAGGGTCCTGATATCAAAATTAGATCGATATTTGATCTGGCGGTTATGGAAACACCAGATTCAGGATCCATTACATGCGGCCCAATTCCTAAGACCCGTGTTATGTATGTTGGTTCTGCTGGGTACGAGCCAACAGGTGCGCAATCATCAGCACCAGCGCCGACTGTAGAGACCAGGATGGTTCTGAAGCATCTCATCGGCTCAGGACATAAGTAGCCATCATCTGTCCGTCTCAGCCCGTTGATTCTTCGCTCATCAACAGGCACTCCCTTCCCCTTCACTTCTATTCATAACTCACTTGCTCGCTTCTTCCTTCCTTACTTCGCTTCTGAAAATATGTCTTCAGGATCGAGATACTCTGGCAGCGCGGCCTCAAGGTCCGGCAACCCGACAGGTTCAACCTCGGGATCTTCTACAAACACTGGTTATGCGCCGCCTCGTCGCTCACCCACAGATTCGTCCTATGTAAGTGCATCACGACTCTTACAACAAATTCTGTTTTAGTGACGCTTCTGGTTCCGGTTTTCTGACAAATTGTAGTATGACTTTCATGGGCACAGTGCCAACTCTGGCAGGGATCCCGGCACAACCTGGATGTATGCGGCAGATGCAAGAGCGCAGCAGGCCAACGCTCCCACCCAACAGGTTCTAGGCGTTCGGTACGCTGGATACTATGGAAACAAGGACAGCAATGGGAACCCATGCTTTCCATTGAGTATGCCCCCCGAGAGCATGCCAAACCCAAGGAGGCCCGGCCACTCATCCACGGGGTGGCTTCATCATCCGCTCATCCCTGGAGAACAGACAACCTATGTCTCTGGTACCGCCCGCCCCGGAGCTGTTCGCAGTGTCTACGCCCCGAGCGACCGAACCAACTTCGATGTGATGTACCATGACAGTGGCAGGGGAGGCGACTTTTCACAGGCGACATATGTTCCAAGAAGGTAGATCTTTGTTTGGCGTTTGGGTGAAAGTACATTTCGGCACACTGAGCCTGGAGCTCGTGTTCCCGTATTTTGGCTATGAAAAACAATTCTGTCACTAGCGAATTAGCTATTTTTTTTTGTCTTTCAATTTCTTTCAGAATTAGTTTCAGTTTACCTTTGACTTACACCATGCTTGTTCCCTATAAAACTTGACTTTGAGCGAAATGGAATATTTCGAAGAGCGTGTTGGCATTTGAAGGGAATTTCGAGACTCCAATTGGACATCCAGTGCCTGTGCCAATGCCACCGAGAACGGCTATCTGATTGAGATGGGAACAAGTATTATCGCGCCTTTTATGGTCGACACCTGGTTGACTTGGGTTGGCCCTGGTATGAACCTTTGAATGGGACTTGTTTTGGTCGTAAATTGGGGCACGTTTAGTTTAGAAGCCTATTTGATAGATGCGTGGTGCGTTTTTGTCCATGAGAGTGAGCATGATGAAGCACCGTTGCATACGCCTACCCAATCCCACGGATATTTATATGACACCCGGGTTACATTTTGATGAGAGAGGCGCATAGATAGTTACTTTGACTTGAATTCATAAATTGTAGTGTATAACTATCTCGCTTTAAGGATACGAAAGATTCTTTACAACTGTTATTCAATATGTTGAACATTGACGTATAGTTAAGTAGCATAATGTTTAACCATCATAAATGTATACTTGATCTATTCTGATACAAACATTCAATCCCATCAGCGGTACCCTGCCGGCTCAGCCATGCTTAGAGTCATTCAGTCCAATAATTAGCCATAGAATTGAAGGCAGAATGAGTTGTATAGTGCCTTCGGTGGGGCATGTGGCGCTTAAAAACCTATGGAAGTCTCTCTCAGTCACCGTCAAAACTCAACTTTGTCCAACACCAAGCATTTGCCCATGGGGAAAATGAGGAATAAGCGCCGCGTCGTTGTCGCCTTATACCACCGCGGTAGACTCTCCCTCGGAGATAATCGCCAGAGACTGGGTTATGAATCCTATCACTGGGGCATCCTCATCATGCCAAAGAAGCCGCAGGAGGGAAATCGCCTTCCATTATGCAGCGCCTACGACGCAACCGACATTTTGGTCATTGACCCTGAAACACACGAACATCTCAACCCAAACCTCGATTGGTTTTTCCGCACCCAACATGACATTGACCCTTCTGCTACAGGTCAATTAATAGGCCGCATCATCGTGGGTAAACTGCCAAAGCATGTCTCCAAATCAGACCTCGACACACTTCTGGCGGGCGTGCCTCTACCGGCCAAGGATGTTTCACCACCTCAGAGCTGCGTAACCTGGGCTTTGGCCGCGCTCAGCGCTCTACAGAACGCCGGTCTAGTGTGGTCTTTCAACATTGAATCTTTTAGAGATTGGGCTCTTGCGTATGGTGATCGTTGCATGGCAAATATGGGCCAAAGCGATGTGTGCGAATACAGAGGGGAGAAAAAGTGAGCGTGGCAATCTTCAACATTCAACCACAGCCAACGACTGTGCACGATAAGAGCTACGTTTCAATTGCCGCCCTGGATAGGAACAATGGAAATTGCCTCGTCTAGGTACTGTTTATCTAGTCTGACAACAATGTTTCCTGGCACTAAACTTAGCCGCGAGGATTTCCGGGCTCATCATAGCTGGTACAAGGCGACCGCTCTGCCACAAGCTCTGTATCATGGCAAGGTTGAACCTCATACAAGGCGGCATACCGATCTGCCAAGGGAACAAGTCATAGTGAGCTTTGATAACTTTTCAATATTCCGGATACCAACCCGAAGATTCCCAGTCAATAAATGCGACAACACAACCTTCTCTTACCATCATATTCCGGGGGATCAAGTCGGCGTATGTGGGTCGTGTCTTGTATGATCCCGTATGAACCTTAGCAGCTTCATCACCAATCGGTCAATCTTGCGTAGGTGGAAGTGACTTATAGTTGGCGCATTTTCGATAAGATGGAGATGGAAGATATTAAGTAAATGAAATAAACAGACACGTGGTCAAGACGACACATTTTGGAGAGAGCGGAACGTATTTATTGGTAATTTGAGGAGCATTATGAATCCAGATTGATGCTGGACTTGAGAATCCTTCGATTCAACTTGCAGAAGAAAACCAATAGAGACATGACATTTATGATCAGAGAGATACCACTTTGGAATTCTTCAGTCTTACATTTCTTTGAACCAGCATAGGCCGTTATGCTGTAAAAAGTTGTACGTATAATCCAAAGTGTTCCCAACTGTTTGAAAGATCTGGGTGGCCCGGTACAGATCTGGTTATTCGTATTCTGGTGGCGATCTATAGCCGATTTTATCCTCTCCAACTCCGCCCTTGATCTTGGCTGGCGGTTTATGCCTTGGCTCTCCGCCTCGCCTTGGTTGAGTGGGGTTTTTCTACTTGCCGACGTCAGTCCCAAACACACAGCCTCCTCCGTCAAATGACCTTTTCCCTCTCCATGGACACAAGGTCTCAATAAATTCTCATCGCTCACCGAGGTCTTTGGATGTACCATCATCCAAGAGCCTAGACAGCTTGAGCAACAAAAGCGTAAACCAGACTATCAAAAGGCGACATTATGTCGAGCATCGCCCAGGTGCTCGTCGAGCGCTATGTTTCACCCGAATTCAGGCGCGAATTCGTCATTCATCTATTCCTCTACGCGGCGCTGTCATGGGGCTTAGGGAAGAATGATTCGCTCGACTGGGAGCTGCTGGCTCTGGGCCCCAAAGGTTCCGTGCCGCCCCCAAAGCCCATCTTGTGGACTCTGGGGTACAACAGACTTGTGGTGTTTGCCTTCCTTGCTCTGCTTTGCATGGCGCCACGACTATACATGTCACCCCAGACAATGAGGGTTCACGGCGGCGACAACTGGTTCAGGTCGAAAGACTGGATATCTGGGCTCGTCTGGGTTCTGATCCATCATTACTCCAAGATGCTCTTCCCGCTTTGGGGCCAATGGACCCTTCATATATACACTTACTTTCACATATCGCCCTCGCCCCTCTCACTCGCTGGCTTCGAGTGTTTTCTTCTTTCTATATTGGGCTATCTTCTCGCGCTTCCACCAGCCCTGATATATGCCCTCTATCGAGTGGCTGATACTTTTATCCATCCGGCCATACGATCTCGGTTGCGGCCAAGCCATGATTCGGGAATTCTCGAAAGCGAACGCGCCTCTGTCCTCTGGTTCTTACGCCTCTATGTTTTGCTGTTGATCCCAGAGCGGCATTTTCCCAAATTTTCAGCTGCGTTCGCTCTTTGGTCTATCTGGGCTATGATATTCTTCGCAGTGGCCCTTTCACTATCGCTTGCTTTATGGTGGAACACGCAGTTCCCTCCAGAGTCATCATGTGCTTCGCAAAACTCGGGAATAGCACCGCAGTTTCAATACACACCGCTAGCCAGCAACTCGCATATTCGAGTGCTCAAAGTGCTACCTAGTCTCCGGGGAAGCGAAGCAATAGCATGCCAGTTATTACAGGTCGAATTACACGGCTCTCGACCATCCTATGATGCGATGTCGTACCATTGGCAAATACCAAGACAAGATGCTTCCAATAGTGACGAGCCAGAAACCAGAATTATCATGATCAACGGATTCCACTACAGAGTGCCCCCGAATGTTTTATCCATTCTGAAGGATGTTCGGAATTGGGTATTTCCCAGGTACATCTGGATTGATTCCATTTGCATCGACCAGAATAATGTTGCCGAGAAAGAGATCCAAGTGGCGATGATGCGTCAGATATACGAGGGCAGTTCTCACGTTGTCATCCATCTTATAGAACCCGAGCCACCTCGCCGCGACGTACTTCAACTTCGCAACATGGTGTCCAAGCTACGTGACAGCCGCGCTTTGCAAGAATTCTCCTACGACGACAAACCTGGAGAACCGCTCTCTCTCGGATCTTACAGCGACTGGGCTCACATGGAGAGCTTCCTTGACGACCCATGGTTCGTTAGAGCATGGATCGTGCAGGAGGTCACGGTAGCTAAACAAGTCCGGCTTAGGCTTAGAGGACAAGAAATACAATGGGGTGATTTCGTACGCGCTTGTGCTGTGCTATCGCGGACTGGAACGAGGGGGTACATCCATTACCGCTACCTCCTGGAGGGCAAGCCACTCCCCGCCGATGCCGTCGTTGGGTCCAGGATGGCCGGCGTTGAGAGTACTTTGGTGCTTGATAATATGAGGGAGTGGTACGCATCGGGCCAGCTACTCCCACTCTTGGATACGATGATTCTATGTCTCAGGTTTAAGTCAAGTTGGGAAGTTGATAAACTATATGCCCTACTCGGTGTCATTAGTAAAGAGGACCGGGATAGCTTGGGAATTACCCCTAACTACACGAGAGACAAAGAAACGATTTTTAAATCCCTTGCCCTTCAATTGTTGGGGAGAGCTTCTTCTATCGATGAGCAGTTCCGGATTCTTCGCTTTGCAGGTGTCGGCCAGGCGAGGAACATGAGCAGTCTGCCATCGTGGGTCTCGGATTGGACCTCTGGGTTGCCGACTTGCCCGTTCACCAGTCGCCATGATGAATTCAACTACAAAGCATCAACTCGAAGTGGGAGTAAAATGCGTTTTAGGCGGCCTAATGAACATTCCTCGTCTGCTGATGGGATCGATGAAGGTCTTGGCGCCCTCCTTGAAGTGGATGGTCATCTCGTTGATCGCATCGTACTGCTCTGCGATGTTTCAGAAACGCCACCACCAGAGAACACGACAGACTTTCCAATCCGCGATGCCCTCGCCGCCGTAATGGCTCATAGTCAAGGTCGGGAAACGTATCGCTCAACTGGCCAGCCAATCGAAGAAGCGTTCTGGCGGGCTCTCATCGCAAACCCACATCTACGCCGTCTACCAGCAACTCACGATGTAATGAAGGCCTGGGTCCTATATTTCAAGGGCTACGAAGCTGCCCGCGGTGGGCTTGACAAAGCAGAAGCCGTCCCAGGTGCAGCGCAGGATGACGAGGCGTGGGATCTGCGACTCATGTTCAGTGCCATCTGGTTCTGGCAGGCCGATGACGAGGACCTGCGTTTTGCGCATGTGCTTGCGACCGACTTGTCAAGACGGTGGCCCGAGCACCGGCATACGCTGCGAGCTACGAGTATCCTGAACCGGCCTTCAGACCACATGGAGGCTACTGATGTGCGCATGTCCGCCGGTCGGCAGTTTTGCGTCACGGAGAAGGGATACTTTGGACTCGTGCCGCGGCTTGCTGCTATTGATGATATGGTAGTCCTGTTTGACGGGGCAACGACACCTCATGTAGTCCGGCCGTCGATTTCCGAGACGTACAATGCTGCGGCAGGACCCAGGAATGATGATTTCTTTTGCAAGCTTGTGGGCGAGTGTTTTATACATGAGGGTATGGATGGACAACTGGAACGTGACTCTAGCATTTCCAAGAAAACTTTTGTATTAGAATAAATCGTAAGCCATTAGTATACATTACAGCTAAACGCTGCCTTTCCATGCTTGAAATTTATTGATGATTATGTTAGTCTGAACCAGGGACAAAGTGTTATTCACCGAGATGGACAAACAGATTCCCGTGCTTCGTGTGTAATACTAATACAGAAACCAAGATGTGCTGCTGGCTAGCCCACTCAGAAGCGACCTCATTGGACTGGTGGAATCTGCCTTCTCGCTAAGCATCCAAGTAGGCAAGTATCTGCATATTTCAGCTCCCTTTGTCAACGCGCCTAGCCTCCATGGGGCATGACTGCTGGAATTAGAGGGTTGGCTGGTTCGCTTGATCCGGACGCCGTACCTGCGCTCAGCGCCTGTCCTGTGTATAAATATGCGCTTGCAAGTGATAGAATTCAACATGCAGTAGCGGGAAGGCGATTTTCCCCGACAAAGGAAACTTTCTGTTCGGACAATTACCCTCTTTAAAGTAGACATCTGCCCTATTCCCGCAAGAAGCGGCCCATTCTTTACTTTAGCGAGTGGGTAGCTGATGTCAGGGGTTTGTTTACTGGCTTCATGCATGTAAGCCCAACAAGATTGGGAACTGATTGTCTTTTTTAATCTTGTTTCCTGTGCTTGTGCTTAGTTGACAACCTAACCTCCGTTCTTTTTGAATTGATACAATTCTAGTGGTTTCGTCTGCTCCAAGTTCGTCGCTTTTCTAAGCAAAATCGAACGGACTTCCAAGTCAAGTAACACCATGGATCATAGGAAAGAAGATGGTAAGGCTATAGGGAAGTTTCAAGAATATAGCCAGCTAATCGCGCACAACAGGTCAAGGCCAGCCTAATGCATCTCCCTCCGGGGGAGGCATATCGGACTCAATCCATCCCAGTCGCTCCGAAGATATGACTGATGCCATACCTGGGACAGGATCGAGTTCCGTAGACACTGTAGAGGCCCATAAGCCTACTACAGTCACCATTCCGTGTCACCATATCCGCATAGGTGACTTCCTAATACTTCAAGGCCATCCCTGTCAAGTCATCCGTATCTCGACGAGCGCTTCCACAGGCCAATACCGTTACCTTGGTGTTGACATCTTCACTAAAACGCTTCACGAGGAATCCTCTTTCGTCACCAACCTTGCTCCTGGTGTCATCACCCAGAATATGCTCGGTCCTATCTTCAAACAGTACCGAGTTCTTGATATAGAAGATGGCCGAATGGTCGCTATGACGGAGACTGGCGATGTCAAGCAGGGGCTCCCCATCCTTGACCAATCTCAACTCCATGACCGAATCATTCAAGCCTTCGAGGGCGGTCGCGGATCCATTCGCGTTCTTGTTCTCGCTGATGGCGACCGCGAGCTAGTTGTCGACATGAAAGTCATCCATAGACCAAACCTGTCAAGTGGTCAAAGGGAGCAGGCATTTCGAGCAGCTGTCCGCGCGAATGACATTTTAAAGGTTGAGGAGGCCTTAGCAGAGAAGCCAAAGGTCGATATCGATAGTCCAGACGAGAACGGAAGGACGGTCCTGTTTGGTGCTGTTGAGCAACGCTTTGAGAGCATGGTTGATCTCCTCCTAAAGCATGAAATTGACCTTGGGGTGAAGGACAAGAAAGGGCAAACCGCTCTGGATGTTTCCGTCTCCGACCCAGAGCAATACCACATAACTCTCAAACTTTTGGAAAAGGGTGCACAACCTATGGATATTGTCGATAACGACATCACAAAACTCTTCTCGGCTGCAGCAGAAGGTAAAACTGAAGTGATGAACCAGTTGCTGGATAGAAACGTGCCGCATATAACTCGTGATCGGCTCGGATATACTGCTTTGCATGAGGCTGCTTCTTTTGGCCGTTATGAGGTAGCGAGGACACTCATCGAAAAAGGGGCCGACATCAACGCAAAAATCACACATGGGGGTGCAACAGTGCTACATGCAGCTATTCAGAGAGGCCGGGAGCATCGCCGGTTTTTTGCGGGAGCTCGAAGAAATTATCCGACTCTAACTGAGAACCATGTCAAAATTGTGGCATTGCTGTTGCGGAAAGAAGCCTTTACCGAGCACAGAAGGTCATATGACAACTTGACGGCGCGAGAGCTTGTGTCCGAGGAGCTTAGATTGGCTGGCAACTTTGAGCGGAGTTGTTTACAGAAGATATTGATCCTTTTGAACAGACCGATTCCACACGAAGGACCGAATAGAGCATTGACTTGGCCGCCAGTGTCGGATGACCTCAACGGGCGGAGTGATCAGTTGAAAGCGTCTCCGTTGCGGGTTCAATATTTCACCTCCAGTCGCGAAATTCACACACTTCCGGTGTCCGTTTGGGACTTCATATATGATTCATCTGTTTCTCAAATTCAAAGAGAGCAAATCAAGCAACGTGAAAAATGGGCGAGGGGTGACGGTAATGGCTCCCAGCCAAGAGAATACTGGAGATGGGTACATCTTCCAGCAAATAACGTATGTCGATGAACTCTTGACCCAAATCAATAAGACTTCAATGCGCTAACTTTATGCAGAAAACTTGGGCTGAGGTTCGTATCCATGTTCTCATGGACGAAAGTGATACTAATTTCTGGGACAGGACGTAATCCGCCCATTGAGTGTCATGGACGATGAAACATTTGAGATATATTGGAAAGGAATTAGATCGTTCACCACAGAATCTTATCATCAGATCAGGGGCCAGGCGCCACATACTGGCTTTAGAAAGCCTTCCTTTACATCTTTGCCTGGATCACACGGGTCGATTTTTTCCCTAGTTGTGAGTTGACCCTTGAACCGCGGCATGGCAAACGCATTCTAAGATACACGGTCTAGATCCCATATTTTGATGCAGAGAACCTCGAATGCTTTCTTCAAAAACAAGGATGCTCTTCCATTAATTGCAGGAAGAGCTTCGCAAATGAGGAAATCTCAACGAAACTATATAATGAATCTAACAACAGTCTATCCAGCTTTCATGCGCCATGCACGTTAGACCAGTCCTATTACTTGTCCCTCGACAGTTCTAGTGAGCGTGATAAGGATCAGGTGGTGATCAAACACGTTGAACGTCAATTAGAACTAGAGCGGGCAAGAGGACGAGAGCGTCGATCAGGAGTGGAGCGCCCGACGACCACCACTGGAAGCCTCAAGAGGCTTCTCATGGTCAAACAGATGTGGATTTGGAAAATCGACGCTAGTAAGCTCCTGTGAAGCTATTTCTAGAGTTTCTGTAGCTAATATATTGGTAGTGACCCTCATTACTGCATTTCCTGACCGTCGACACGATATCCAACAACCTAATCTCTCGGTTCAAATTTCCAAAGGTCTCGATACCCACCCACCCCTAAACATGGGTTTGATGATATCTCGTCTCCTGAAATATACTACCGAGTTTGTGGACGCACCGACCAACGCCGGGCTGAACGAAAATTTATTTCACATCTTTGAGCAGAGCATTGCTTATCGGGTAGGATACCCATGGTTCCTGAAACTCCTCCCCCCCTTGCTCCCACCTGCCCATACTTAGAACCCTATTGACTGTTGTGACCTAGGCCCAAGCAGATGCAAACTGCTATGCCAACTTCTACAAATTGCAAAACGAGTTGATCAAGTTGAGTAGAGAGGTTGTACCACAGAACCGCATAAAATCGCATCACCAGAAGATGTTAGAAACTGAAAATAAAATATGCGATATCACAAGCGAGATGCAGCATCTTTGCGAAATCAAAGACGTCAAGGATGAGTTGAGAATGATCCAGAGGGTTTTGGATGACCAGTGGGATGTTATTGACCAATACCACGGGGGCCATGAAGAGTTGAAATTTGACGTCAAACAAAAAAGGTCTAACAGCGCAGAAGCGCGGCTCCCAGCAGATGAAGAAGTTGAACTGGAAAACACGAAAAAATCTATTGGAATTCGCATCTCCAAAGTTAAGTCCCTTGTCGCAGAGGCAACTACAGTAGAAAATTCGGTAAGAGTACCTCCAACTTGACCCCTACGATGAACGTGTCGGCTTTTTCACAATAAATATCTAACAGAAGACTCCTGCTTGTAGCTCAATCATCTATTGGACCTCAAACAAAAGCAAGGAAACTTGGTTATTGTGAGAGATACGCGCAGTCTTGCAAGCGAAGCGGAGCAGAGAGCCAAGGATAGCGCTTGGCAGAGCAAGCTGCTGTTCATCTTTACTATTATTACAGTCATTTTTGTGAGATTTTGCACTATCCCAATGAATTTTCAAGCTTGGCTCATAAGTACTTTAGACGCCTATATCGTTTACATCCACGTTTCTGGCAGTCCCGACTCTGGAGTTTCCTCGTGCAAATGGGGAGGACGTGGCTTGGAGATGGTGGCAAGTCTTTGTCGCAAGTGGTAAGTGCATAATCATGACAGTACTGTAACACGACTAAAGATTGCCCCTATAGTTGTCGTAGAGGTCCTCACGTTTCTTGTTATTGCACCTTGGATTGATTGGAATCGCTTTGACTATCCTTGGAAGAGACGCGGTAGTCAAAGGGAACAACCTGCAGTAGAACGGATGGAGGTATGAGGTGTGGTTATAGCGGCATAGAAGAAAAGAGAACTTTGAACTTGGCATATTTGTACATATGCGATGAACCTATTTGGTTCCCAATGACCAACACTAGGAGATCTTGTTGTTGTGTGCGATTGCGTTAATAAGTCATGGTTATGATAGCCCCATATAGAGAGAAGAAAGCATTCGAAACCCGCGAGCGAGAGGGGCGAGGGCGATATGTGATTAAAGTACTTTTCAGTCCCTGTTATGGCACGCCCACTTTGGGATAAAGTGAAGCGCGTTTTCCGACTGCGGGGCTTTTCTGCCTTGCGCTTTGATGAGGAGGTTTGGAGGCCATCATTGGTAGCTCTTTTGGTTCGCATGCAGGGGTTGGCGTTAGCCGCAGGATCCCGTTCAGCTGAAGGTGTAGGGGTGGGAGCTTCCCCGCCTCGTGCTTACCATTATCTCTGTCTTTCATCTGTCCAACTCACCGCACGCCCAATCTAGAGTTGTTTCATTGACCCGCCTGCTGAATGCCGCATGAAGGGAGAGTTTCTCAGATGGAAGAGCGCAAGAAGCGACTGGGACCCGAACAGTAGTAGCCATGGGTCCTCTCGCGGCAATGCCAGACGCGGTTCAGGACTCGAGGATCGAAACTTCTATCCTCAACGGAGGCAAGGAGTTTCAACATGTGAAGTTCTCTCTCGGAAGCAGCGTGGTGAGGAGGCGTTTGCGGAGCGAAGAGACATGGAGTCCCAGACGCCTATTAGGAAGAGGCTCCTTTGGCCAGGTATGGCTACAAGAGTGTGTGGCGGGCAGTCCGAGACGGGAGCTTCGTGCCGTGAAGGAGATTATGAAACACCAAATGAAGACATCTTACCTTTTTCGAGAACTCGAGACTATTGCTAAGTTTTCCCAAGACAAGGTTTGCTTGCACATTGCCCTAGTCCTGATTTGACTTCCACATTCCTAAGTTCTAACAAAGTGCAGTACGCGCATTGCTTTGTTCGTTCCTCTGGCTGGTTTGAGGATGATTCAAGTTGGTTCATTGCCATGGAGTATATGCCCTATGGTGACCTCGACCACGCTGTGAAAAGTCCTCTTCAGGAACCGGAAGCGCGTCAGATCATATTTCAAACTGTGGAAGGAGTTTCCTTCATGCATGACAGCGGCTTTGCCCATAGAGATCTAAAACCATCTGTAAGCATTTCACTAAGACATTTGCCGAAATAACAAGGGCATAGACTCACTGACCGATCACGTTAACCCCTAAGAATATCATGGTTTTTCGTCCTGGCCCCTCGTGGTGGGTCAAAATTACAGATTTTGGCATCAGCAAGCGAACCAACGACATGGCGACAGGAACTCTAGAGATTGGAACTGTGGCATTTATGGCACCCGAACTTCGTGGAATGTATGGCCCCGATGAAGCTGAAACGGTGGCAGGGTATCGTGAATATCCCAATGCTGTGGACATATGGGCTATTGGAGAAATTACACACCGTCTTTTGACGCAGGAACCTCTATTCGCAACTGGCCGGCAGCTATCGCATTATGTCTTTCTGGGGGCTTCCTTTCCCTCCGAAAAGCTCCGAAACTTCAGTTCCAGTACGGACGCAATCAATTTCGTGATCCGATGCATGGATGCCGCTCCAGCCAGAAGATTGACGGCTCTTGATGCGTTGAACCACTCGTGGCTAGCCAGCCACGAATTCATTACAGAACCAGAGCACTTTGAGCCTCCCCAAAAGTAAGAAGACCCCGTTGGTAGTAAACCTGCGTTTGGCTTGAGCTAATGAAAAATCACAGCCGTACTCACACCTACCAGGAGAATAGTGAACCATCCCAGTCATCAGTCTGGAGCGACGAACCATCAGCGCGGTGGTCTGATACGTTGCCTTCTCAGCAATCATTTCATGCCAAAGAGAACCGAAGCGTTTATTCAACAGCTTCAACCGAACCATCAGCAAAGTGGCCTTCGTCGATCGGTTCTCAACGTACTGTTCTTCCAACTAACAATTCTTATGGTACAAGCGCGAGTAACGAGGCATCAACGCGATGGTCAGCCGCGTTACCTTCGCAACAGCCCTCTTATGAGACAAGAACTATGATACCGGTTGCCGAGCTTGAAGGCCGTCTCCCGTCCTTCCAAAAATCCTCATCACCACCACCATCCTTTGCCTCGCCTTCCGGAGACAACATCTTGCGGGATCAGGAGCTCTTCCCTTGGACCGCGCCAGGTAGCGAAGGTCAGCATAATCAACGACCGCTTTCCCCTCCAAAAATGACGGAAGTATCAGTAACTCAAAGGCCCGCCCCTTCTATGCCCCGGAGTTTCGAGCCCCAGGTTTCGCAGAATAACAGTAATACCAATGTTGGGACTGAGACCTACTCTAACGTAGGCTCAGACCTGGTGCCGTGCCCTGTCCAACAGTGCCCTCACCACAAACAAGGCTTTGGCTCGGAAGGGCGCATGAAGCGGCATGTTATGACTCAACACCCCGACTATAATGAATCAAGACCCGAATCCAAACCATTTCGCAGGGCATCAATGGGGTTTATTTGTCCCGTTCGAGAGTGCCGGCGTCATACCGACGGCTTTGGTTCCCAGGGTCAGTTGAGACAACACATGGCAGGAGCCCATGGTGATCTAAAAGCACAAGGTACAGGCTTCCTTTGCCCAGTTTTTGCTTGCCCTCAGAAAGTCGAGCCGCTATCCTCATTAGCGCTTCTCAATCGCCATATCGAACATGCTCATCAGGGAGAAGCAAAGGAAAATGTCACAACAGGCTGGCCCTGCCCTATTCAAGATTGCGACTACAAATATCAAGGAATTTCCACAGCATGGCTTCTTATGGAACACTTTGAAAAGGCCCACGGAGGAGACAAAGGTCTCGGAGGAATAGAGTTCACCTGCACAATTATCAGCTGCCCCTATCACATAAGGGGCTTTTCTTCACTCGTTGACTTCAATCGCCACATGGAGAGATCTCATTCTTCTGAAGAATTGGAAGCTGCAAAGATAGGCTTCACCTGTCCTGTGGAAGGCTGTGATTTTCGATACCGAGGGTTTTCCTCGGAATCACGTCTTTTAGGACACATTGATAGGGCCCATGGAGCACCTAAGGAACCAGGGTCATCCGGGTTCCCTTGCTCCGTCGCTACTTGCCCGTACCAAATAAAGCCCTTCTCTTCAATTGTTGCCCTCAATTGTCATATTGAAAGATCTCATGTTCACGAACTGGCACTTGCGGAGAGAGGCTACCCTTGCCCTTTCCCAAACTGCGATTTCCGGTATCAAGGGTTTTCTTCGCAAACGCGTCTGGAGCGTCATATGAAAACTGCTCATGAAGATCAGGAAAAGCCGTCGCAGGCAGATACGGAGAGTACAGGTCATACTTGTCCTGTTAAATCCTGCCGCCATCACCACCAGGGTTTTGCTTCGGAACCGCGACTGAAACGTCATATTGACAAAGTCCATTCGAGCGAGAGCAGCACGGAGCCAGGACCGCAATCAAAGCAGAGTTGGAAATGCCCCACTCTCGGTTGTCCTTTTTCCTATCAAGGATTTCAGAATCCAAGGGAGCTTCAGCGCCATCGTCAGATTGTGCACTTTGTGAAAGGCTGAAGTTCATGGGGCAATATCAATTTCCATGGCGATGTAAGTAAAGGCATGAAGTGTAACAAAGACATGTTGAATATCCAAAACAAAACTGCAGAGTTACATTAGTATATGGCGCTGTGACTCTTTGTGGTAGGAAAAAGAAGCATGTAACGGTCTTGCGAATTTTCAACTTCATTCCATTTCCTCTTCTCCTCCTCTCGTTAGCGAACCCAGAATACTTGCCATGAATGCTGAGCGACAACGTTATTACACACACCACTATTCAACTTCTAAATCAACTTGTGGACAAAATGTTCATGGGCCAGGTCTACAAATGTTACTGGTTTCAATATGACCTCAGGTAGCTTGATGGTTTTTGGGAAAAGCGTTGCGAAGAGTGAATGGCCTGAGACCCCTGGTGTTAAAAGCCACCGACCGATCGTAGGCTCTGGACCAAATTTGTAGAAGAGGTAGCTCCGATAACCAGATGGTACGAGACGTTGCGTCAAAAATGTCTCCAGCTGATTGATCGAAACGAAATTTTCGCTCGCCGCGGCTTAAATGCCTTCTCAAAAGGTCAAGAGCGGTACCATTGTCAAATATTGGTATACTAAGATCAATGCCGTGTACATGTGATAAAAATATATTAGAATCATCTAGATATAGATCATCATCCATTCACATGAACATATAGCCCTACTAAACTGCATGATAATGGTAGGGCTGTGTAGCCATGCACGCCCTTCTCGGAGTCCGTAGGTGTGGACACCTCGGAAGGGCTTAATGGCGGTTAAAGTCGATTACAAACCAGTTTGCGAGGTTGCCTCTTGTGGATTATGTGCGGCGGAAAGTGGTAAGAAGTTTTCTGAAGTAATCTCCGGCGCGGCGGGCCTTCACCCATAGTTGTGCTCCGGCCGGAGTCCGGGAAGCGCCGGGTTACAAACCTCAAATCCGGCATGAGAGCACTTCAATTTGAATCACGGAGGTATGTTTCTTTCTCCTGCATATATATCATGCAGGCGGGTTGAATTCCAGTCCATATTTCAAACAATACCATCTCATCCTCTCATCTCTCATCCTCATTATGGACTCCAACGTCATTCTCGTTCTAGGTGCCACTGGTGCGTATATTGACTTATCGGCTAGTTGACGATTCAATTCTTGACGAACGCCCGCTAACGACAGCTAGGCCAATCTGGACTTGCCTTCATTGAAGAGGCGTTGCAGCTACCCGACCCCCCGAAACTGGTACTATATGTCCGCAGCAAGTCCAAAGTTCCAGAAACTGCGAGCAAGAGCGAAAAGGTTTCTATTGTGTCCGGAGATCTCGCAGACTATGAAGCTCTCAGCTCCGCTATGCAACAGCACTCAGTCACTACTGTAGTTTCCTTCCTTGGAGCATATGTGTCAGCATCAGCGGTGATCACCAGAGCGAAACCAACGCCGATCGCCGACAGTTTCCCAGTCATAATTGACGCCATGAAGAACTCGGGGGTGCGTCATCTTATGGCTCTTTCCACACCATCATATTGGGTGGAGGGCCAGGATGTTTCTACCTGGAGGTTAACAATGTACGGGCTGATGCCGGTAATCTTTGCACCACAAGGCAACGCGGAGATGGTAAAAATTGCTGAAGAGGTGGTCTCGAAAGGGGACAGCCTAGATTGGACCATCTTTCGCATCCCTCACCTCACAAATGAAGCTTCAGATCTACCAGTCTGGGCGGACTATGCAGGGCCGTCTCACAAGGGGTCTCTTAGTCTATCCAGGGGCAGCTTAGCTCGCTGGGTTTTGACAGAAATCAAGGAGAGGAAATGGACGAAAGGCGCACCATTACTTGGGAATATTTAAGCTGAGGTTGAATGAAAACAGGATCAGAGCTGGGTGCAATTTTACCTTGTATCGTTGTCGAGATTATTACTTTAGCCAAACCCGGCAGTCCGGTGGAATTATATTTGAGTGTGTAATTTTTCGGAGAGGTTAACGATTAACCTAAATAGACTATGCAAATTCGTTGTCGAGATCTCGGCCTTTGAACAGCCCTATACTTTGAAATGCCTTGAATTTCTGACAACATACGAGCCAGGCTCAAAGCAGACAGACGCTCACATCTACACGCCAATGTGTCTAGTATACCGTAGGCCTGTGTATTCTCCGAGTTCGGTCAAAGGAACATATAAAACCAGCCAGCGAGAGGGGTGAAAGTGAGGAATGAAAGTAGGTATATATCTATAAAGTGTCTATTAACCCCAGAGCCCACATAGCAATGCTCTTCGTCGGTGTTGTTATCGCCGTCGTCGTCATCGTCGTTTTATTATAATGTCGCTATTATTATTTCATTATTGTTATCGTTATCGTTATCGTTATTGTTATCGTTATCGTTATTATCATTATCATTGTTGTTATTGTTATTGTCGTTGTTATTGTTATTGTTGTTGTTGTCGTTGTTGTCGTCATATTTTGGAGTACGGATGGATTAGAACCTAGATGAGCCTAGATATCCTAACGATATCTTAAGAGGCGGCGAGCGCGAGCTTCAGCCCGGGCGTAACGTTGAACTGTTTGTCTAACGAGAGCTTGATCAAGGGCGAGATTTTCAGCTTCTTCTGCGGCTTGAGCGTCGGCACGAGCTTGAGCTCGGAATTATTCACGCACAGGGAAACGATGAAAATTGATAAAATGTTGCCCGAGCAATTGAATTGTGTGATGATAATGATGCTAGGTTATCTCTGCCTGTGGCCGGAGGCCAGGAAGGCCTCTTGACTAACTACCTAACGTTAAAAATGGCAACAGCCCCCAATAACACTTGGGAGAGGCGTCGATCTTCTGCTGTTTGCCCCCGTGCTTGAGCGCGAGCTTCAGCTCGACGCCGACGGTGGATGGCATTCTCATTGGGCTGGATGTTTGGTTCTTGTCGGCTCTCGTCGACATTTCCTGCTCTTGTCGTAAAGAATCGAGGCGAGAAATGTATAACACTCTGGTTGGCATCTAGGCGATGGACTTCGACATTTGGGCTTCGCCAAGGTAATCCCTAAAACAAAGGCAATATAATTAGCAGAGATACTTCAACTTTTGGAGTTATAGGAAATAACTTACATTGGTAGCGGAGTGTTCGTGGTCTTATTGGTGGACTTCTTAGTGGTGATAATGATGATAATAGTGATAGTGGCGATAATGGTGATGGTGGTGATGGTGGTGATGGTGGCTGGCGATGATTAATGGAAAGAGAGAAATAGAATAGGAAGAAAAACAAAGGATGTTCATCATGGCAGTTTGTAGTTTACATGGTAAGACCGTCCAGCAAGAAGGAAGGTCCTTTCTTCAACAATGAATGTCAACATTACACTGAGAGAGGAAGTGGCAATTGATAGTTCAGCAAGCTCGATCTACAGTGCCATCGAAATGTGCTGAAAAATCGTACCGATGGCTCCAAGACTCGTCTTGTCCCTCATTCCTCCATATATATACGGACTATTACCACTTGAAATCGAAACGTTGGCACCAACACCTTGCGCTCTCATGTGTGAGCTATCGCTTCCACCAATCAACGTACGATGCCATTGCTTGTTGAGCCTTCTCCGTCTTGATGAAGGTTCTACTCCAGGTCCAGAGAATGACGCGATCGGTGCCTTCCTCACCGAGAGGAAGCCCTCTTCCCTCACTACCCTCCCATGTGATTCCTTTGCTCTCTGCGAGCTGGAGCATTTTTCTCTCCACGCGATTATCCGAGACCGGGCTGACAGAAATAGCCATGACATAACCACCCACATATGCCACATTGTCTCCCCACTCCTTGAGCGGCGTTGTTGCCTTCACTTTGTCGATGTCAAGTCCAACGGCATTGAGGAAATCAGGCAGTTTGTTCTTCTGGAGACACTTCAAGTCCATGAAATAATGGAGCCGTGAGCCCCCCTGTGTCATGGTGTAGGATGCGAGGAAGTCACATCGCCCGTTACTGCCGTCATACACTCTCTTCTGGCGTGTAAACTCGGACAATATCGTGGCGTCCTTTCCTCTGTTTTTGTCGCTCTCCCTCTTGCAGGCCAGACCAAGCTCGACCTGGGCCCAAATATCCCAACTCAGTCCCATGTGAAAGACCCCCACAATCTTAGATGCCTGTGGGTTGAAGCAGGCGAATGTCGTGTTGTACCATCCATTTTGTACCATGGCGCCAATGGTTCTCTAAATCACTTCTGGGAAATTGTATTCGACAAGTTTAAGTTAGAAAGCCACGAATGGTGTTCCGCAGCAGTAAGAGGTATGACTTATACACGAGTTTATGATGCCATGAAAAATAACGAACCATTTTCAAGGGGGATCTGTCGCAGGCGAGAATTAAGGGCAGGGGCACCACGATAGCGATTGGCTGTGATCGAACGGTGGTGCACCGACAGGGTTCTTTGGTGATGGGTCTGATGGGCGTATGCTTCCGAATACTCTCGTCTAGGAAATGATATCGGAATAGGCCGGCAGTACAGAATTAGGTGGTTTCTCAACAACGGAGATCGTTTTGAGATAAGCAATGCCGTATCGAGAGTATAGCAAACCCTTTTAACAGTAGTGGTCGTCTGCCTTAATTTTAGAACAGAAAGGGACTCACCCTGTTATATGTTGCAGATGATCCTGAGAGGAATCTATGTTTATACATTCTTTGACTTATAACAACAGAAGTTGTTACATATTATTCATACATAAGGTACTCATAGTCGCCTATGCCCAGAGCTAGTTAGTTCCAAAAGCTTCTCGTCCTTTTTATCGACAACAACCACCAAACAACAACTGTATAGTAGATCAATCTTCACATCCTGATTGTGAAAAATAAAAGGAAATGAAAGGAACAATCACATCTTTTCCTACTCCTATCCTCCGTTGCGGTTGATTCTATTTCACGAGGGAAAAACTGACGGAAAATGTAAGTAATTATGATTCGGTCGTATTTTCGCAAAATGCGTTAGTTAGTTTTGTCATATTCGCGGTTCCGATAAATATTGATTGCTTGAAAAGTTCATAGATTTGATTCTCATATCTATATGATCTGTGGTCTAGCCCGAGGTGTTTGCTACCAAAGTAATGACTACCAACTATTTGCCTTTATTATTCTAAGGAAATCACATTACACCGTAGCCGAGGTTCCCTCGTCAATCTTAATACCAAATGCCTGAGTGGCAGTCCCATAACTCGTCTTCACAGCCTCACTGGCATATACCCGCATCTCCTTCTCATACTCAGCCGTCAATCCTGGCCGATAACCCCCAGCTTCCTTGAGAAGTCGCCCCAAAAGTGCGGAATCTCTGACAGCGGTGTTGGCCCCGATGCCTCCAGCCGGGGTCATGGAGTGCGCTGCATCTCCAATTACCGTGACTCGAGGATCGTTTGTCCACTCGGGGACACCGCTGGGAGTGGAGCAGGTGATCTTCCAGAAAGCAGCTTCGCCCTCGTTCATATTGTCAAACAGGGGCTTGAACTTGGGGTTCCAACTCTTGGTCAGGTTCTTGGCGATATCGGCTGCTGGTTTACCAACGATGCTGAAGTCATTGTTGGGGGCTTCGATAACACCCGGCTGGCCGCCTATTGTCCAGCCGAACTCGATATTCGGGTCGTCCATATCACCAGGTCGGACGTTTGTGATGAGGAAAACAGAGCCGCTCTCGTGACTGGTCTCATCGTAAAGTCGGAAGACGCCCTCGCCAAGGCCCTTGAAGGCGGTCGTGGGTGCTTGTCCGTGGATACCACGGGCCCCGGTATCGTAGACCTTGAGTTTGCCACCGGAGAGCTGCTTAGCGACCTTGGAGTATATTCCCTCGCCGCCAATGAGCATGGATCCCTCTAGAGACTTGGTGCCATCATCAAAGACGGCCTGCACTCCATCTGCTGTTAGCTCGTAGCCTATCACCTTCTTCCCCCACTCGATGAACTCGTCGCATCCAGAGGCGAAGATCTTGCGCATGTCGCCTCTGCTGATACCGACCACCTTTCCATCCCGTGAGGAGAGATTCTCGGCCACCTTGTGCTCCGTCTGCTCTCCGGTGACTGCATTGTAAGCGGCAAAGCCCAGCCCGGCCGTCTTACCGCACTTGTCCCAGAATTGCTTCCAGGTGGGCGGGTCGAGGACGGATTCAATGGCATCTAGGCCCTCGGTTGAGAGCCGCAGTCGGTAGCCCTGAGCGCGGAAGACCAGGGATGCATCCCGCTCGAATATGCGAAAAGGGATATTGGACAGGCGCAATGACTGAGCAAGGAGGAGCGAGGCAAGCCCCGCGCCAGAGATGAGAACGGGCTTGGTGGAAGCCATGATTGCTGGATTACTCTTTGTGTATGTTCAAGTTGATGAACGGAATGAGGACTGAGGGGGGGCGATGAGAATATATCTGAGAGTTAAGAATGCATGCCAGAAACAGAGACAAGACCCCCGCCCGAGCACAAGAGCCAGTATCAAAGCGTCTAGCGGGAGCTTTAATTCTCCCCCACTTCTTCTTCAGCTTGGCTTGATCTCGTAATTGCCGCGCGGGCGCCGGGGAGCGAGATTCCTCCACGCTTGCTGATGATTTATCAGCCGTCAGCACGCCAGCAAAGAGCGACCAGCTGGCGCCATCCTCTCCTTAGGGTAAGACTCATGATTAATAAACATTTACTATGCAGGCAGGAGGCTTTCTAGGGCTGATGATCAAATCGCAAGCTCGGTTTGTCTCCACTCCCTCTGCAGTCAAGTTGAAAGAAATCAACCCCGTAGGGAACCAACCGGGCACTAAAGGAGACCCAAGGCTTACAGATTGGCAGCTTCTAATTGGTCAAGGATATTTAAATGCCATTGCATCGTACTAACCGATCTACAATAGGCTTACACAGGGGATAGAGGCTGCGATCCGACTTGTCCGATATGGAAACCGAGCGCGAAGGACCGAGCCGGTCCAGGGGGGTAAGACAGCTATCGTGCATGGGCTAGACTCCCATTTGTGGTATCAAGATGCAGAATACGAAGTATCATACATTTTTCATTGCCTCAAACGTTTGGCTGATCAAAGAGTCTGACACCGCCATACAAATTAAACCCATCTCGCAATATCAGCACTGGCCCTGAAAGGCTACTCGCTGTGCTGAAACTAAGTTAATAGTACAGAGAATTCTCATGTCATCAAGTTGTTACTCTATAATATGGAGTCTCATCCTCCAAATTAATCTGAATTGGAGCAAAACAGATTTCAAGCATTTTACGGAATATCTGGCGTGTGGGTTGTCAACTATCATTATTGATTGTGAAGAAACTTGGTCGCCAAAAGATTCTGCTTGACCCCATACCTATAAAACATGAACTAGCCGAAAATTCGATTGCAGTGTTTGAGGAGATGTCATGGGAGGAAGTCGACTCTCCCAGAAGTTCTAAGACTTGCGCTATTCCTGTCCAGCCTTCACGACCAGTCTCTCCAACTGATTGCTCTCGCCAGGTAACTATGGCAGTCTAAGGCATGGCACTTACATGCATTAGATAAGCTTCCATCTTTTCATTGAGTTCTTTCTTCCCCGGGCACTAGCCACTTAACTTTATCATCGAGGATAAACGCAAAGCTACAGCCACAAGTACATGCCCGGTGACTCACAAATAGCACATAAAGGCGCGTTCAATTTCCGCCTTTAAAGCTGCCGGTTCACTCCATACTAACTTTTCAGCGTTGAACAGAGCAGAGCGAACCCCATGAACTCCCAGCCAACAAACCATACACATATTGCACGGCACCGTACTCGAAACTTACTTTGCTTCATGGCGGCCTCGCAATCCCTCCCCAACGAGGTGTTGGGCTTAATCATAGACGGGCTGTGTACCATAAAGTCACCTGTTGGTTATTGTGGAGGGAGGGGGCAAGAAACGATTTTTGCTGACCGGACACGCACGAGGAAGAGAGGCTTACGCTCCTTCATCGGCCTCAGGCTTGTTTCCAGTCAGTCCACTCCTCTCCTTCAACCGCACAAACTCGCCAACTAACACAGCCTACCAGAATCATTCAACCACGAGATATCTCGAAAGTTCATTCAAAATCACTATTCACAATACCATAAGAGCAACTGGATCAAAAAGTGGCCAATAATAAGTGTGGAATGGATACTAGCTACCAAGCTTAAAATGCACCTACACGATTCCCAAGGCCGATATGCCTTCCTTCTCGATTCTGCTGCATATGTAATGGAGAAGATGCTGAAAGATCCTCCGCGTGATCGCGAGTACGGCATCAAGCTCGTGTGCCGCGCCATCGCTGCAAGTCAACGGACGGATTGGATCTTCAAGAACCTAATCGCCAACTCCTCTGATGTTGACCTCACGAAAGACATCAACAGCTACAAACGCCGACGTATCGACCAGGAAAATTGGACCGAAAACACAGCGGGTTACGATGAGCCCAGCCTCTATGGCGCAGTGCATCTCGCCGTGGCGAGTAAGGGCGAGCTCGCCGTCGATCCTATCATCTCCAAGATGACACCAACCGCCAAGACCTTCGCCCTCGTCCACCCTGTGTTCGGGCATGCGATTCGTCCTGCCATTGGTTTCATTCAACCAGATTTATTACAAACATTACTAAAGCACGGCGCCGATCCGAATACCATGCAGCCTTCAAGGACTGCCAAAGCCAGGGTGCAAAACGCCTTGTGCTATGCAATGCAATGTTCTAGTGAAGACGTTGCCATGGTGCTTCTCACCACACCTTGCAAACTAGACTTGAACTATCACCTCACAGCCAAGGAAATCCTGTTGACCCGGGCTGTCCAGAGGAATTGGATACGGGTGGTCAGTCTCCTTCTTCAGCTGGACGGCGTCCATCCCGACCTTGACATTCGGTTCGATCTTGACAATCGGTACGATCGTCGCAGGGTTAAAACGGCGCTTACAGTAGCAGCTACATATGGATACACAGACATCTTTTCCTTACTGTTACGGACTCCCGGCGTTGATCCTGGGGGGAACTGGCTCACCGTTGAATGTCCGTTGTGGCTTGCTGCCGAGAATGGCCACGCCGAAATCGTCCGCGAATTATTAAATGCGTACGGCCGTGACATAGACCTCAACAGTATATTGCGCGATGGAGAAGGGAATGGGGATACGATTTTGAGCATGGCAGCGAGCAGAGGACATCACCATGTGGTTCGCGTGTTACTGGATTTCCATAGAGTGGACGCTGAGAATCCCGACCTGACTGCCACAAGTACACCGATGTGGACAGCAATTACCAACGGACACTTTGAGGTTCTCGATGTTCTTCTCGAGCACGGCTCCATGAGCGAATTCGGCATAGGAACAGTCGCAGAGCTTGAAGCCAGAGCTCCCGAGATACGCAGCTTCAAAGTTCCCGCCTTTCTCGCCGTGCACCTAATCTCGGCTAGTAGCCATGGATGGTCTTATCTCTCACACCTTCCCATCTCCGAAGAGTTTGCGTCTGATGTCCTGAGGTTGCTACTCGAAGATGACCAGTCGAGAGAGCTCTATGAGGAAGATTTGCATGACGTTTACTCCCACGCTGTTTCAAAACGTCGGCAGCTTCTGTTGCGGGAACTACACAAACATCCATTGCCGGTAAGTATTCCAACTACTTGCGTTCCATACCTATGACAAGGTACATTTTCAACGTTGACTTCGCCAAGAAAGGCAATACAACTTCGCTACATAGTCAAAACTAACCTCAACTTAGGACTTCAAAGGTTACTATGATTCCAATTTCCCTATGTGGTACTGACGGCGTTAGACAGCTTTTTTGCGAATTGGGTTATAGGAAGAGACTATGACGGCGGCTAATTTTACATGTTCAAGCTCTTCATTTCAGAAGTTAAGGTTGGGTTTCATTGTAGAGCGCTAGAATAGCCTACATTTAAATTAAGGAATGCCAAAAAAGACTTCAGCTATGGAAAATATTTTGCTCTGTAGGCTCCGAATTCAGGTTTCTTTACGATGGAGTTCCTTGCCCCGTTTCAGACATTCTCCCAGATCCAAAGAATTGGTTTCATGGTGCCACAAGGGTGGTGTTACTTGAACAACTTCAACCAGTTATGGTCGCCTTTCTTGATATGTTCTCCTAAACATCTGGATTCCCAACGCTTCCAAGGGGCGACCATATACCTGCCTCAATATCCGCCCTGATCCTTCTACAAACCTCATCTGGTGGTGCTTTGAAGAAGCCAGCATCTCGGATCCACGCCTCTTCCTCGGCCGTCATATCTCGTCCAAGATGCCAGTTTCTGTACGGATAGCGGCCGAATTTGTCCAGAGGGGGTTTATGGACGTCCATTAACTCCAGCAGCCAAAATCCCCCCTTGACAATGTCCACATCACCCTCCGGACCACCAGAGGAGATGAGTTTGGGAAATCCCAGCAAATCCCAACGTCTTTCTGGCTGCTCCCGGATGGGATCCCGGACATTGAATCGCTCCTCAATATAAGTTCTTGTTTCATCAGTATATACCATCGCCTCCTCGCTTGCATTTTCGTTGTGAACAAATGGAGTACCGAAACTCATCCGAGCAAAGATGAAGTACTCGAAACTGGCGGTGTCTTTCCACCTATTCCATGAGGTTGGCCGCAGATCGGGCGTGAGATTCTGCAAAGACCGCGCAAAGCCGAGGGAAATATCATCAAAGTAGCCCCCAACCCATCTTTGATCTATGCCCTGGAAGAAATTGCGTGGAGCTTGGTCCAATATCATTGTCAGCCCCAACGCCTGCGTGGGAAAATCAAGACTTTCAACTGGGGGCAAAAGTGAGAACCAATCTGGTAAATAGTCCGCCCCCAGTTTGCTAATGTGCCCCAGCGCAGGCCAGACTTTAGGCCTTATTGCAGAGACTTTATCGTCGTGGGAGAAGAGCATCTTCTTCACTGCCTTGCCAAAGTCAGGCACTTCTTCCGTCTTGGTTATTGCCATCCAGCTCTCTGCTGCCTGTTGGAGCAGACTGGGCGGGAGGAGAGAACGCAGTTCAGCATCCATGGTTGAGTTTATTGGAAGATATTCTGATACAGATTAAGTCCTAGGACTCCTTAGGAAGATGAGGTCAACCACAATGGATAAGGGACGGACTGTCGGCAGCTTGTCTGACGGAAACCTCTTTGCTGACATAAATGCGGAGATTTCGGGAATCTAACCAACAAGGGAAGGAGAAATGAACGGCGAGGTGATAAGGAGCAGATAGGGTGAGCCTTCATACGTGTCATCCAGCCGATGGCTTGGGCTAAGAGAATGACTTGAACAAAGATAAGTAGTTCCACAGTCACTCCTCAGCCCTATCCGTAGACGACCTTCGGGTAGCGATTTTCCGCCGCTCTTCAATATACCATCTGAGCCAAAATGTAGCTTACCACGAGAAGGAAACTAGTTCTCCGCTTCATGCTATGTTGAATCGTAGATATTGTTTTATTATATCCCTTCTCGGCATCGTCTTGTCTGGCGACCTAACTTAGCTCGATATCAGACGTCAAGGCCAATAAATAGGTAAGACTCTCATAGCAGGCTTTAGGATTCGACTTCGTGTGATGAAACCATTTCCGGACACAGAATGTATATGCGAGTGCCTTGCCGTCGGGCGACTGGACTTCTATCGACTATAATAACCCTTGAAGGTCTCGCTCACGCTCAAGGTTGACCCAATCCAACATCACCCACGAAAACAAGAGCCTCGATCGTTCCGGTAAACTGACTCTAGATTACAAGATAGTCTATAGCAATCAAAGTCTCTTCTAGATGAAGATATTATGAGGATATTTTGTTTTTGTAAGATTAAGACGAGTTCCAAAGTCGACTCGGGCTATAGGATCAAAGCGTTGAATCCTTCCACGCTTTTGAAAATTTTGTCCAAGTGAAGCACAGCATGAACATATTTTTCTTCCTCGTGGCAACATGGCCTCTTGCTAGTATCCAGGATATTGACAAGTCCAGGCGAGTCGATCCCTCATTTCAGTCCCTACTCTAGACTTAGTTTGGACTCCCATCTCTCAACCTGAGGGGGTCAAGAGACTGTTATTGGCTGGGTAAACGTAATCCACGGTCATCTAAAGTTCAACTAGCTACAGGTTTTCTCAACTTCCAGCGGTCGACTAGTCAATCACAATGGGATTTGTCGCGTTGCCCCCCAAACCACGTGCCGACACCATGTCGCCAACCTTCAAAGCTACGTCAAGAGAGTTCGTCACTCATGAGACGTTGCAATACAATCCAGCTAAAAACTGGGAAACAATGTCAGAAACTCCCGCCTCTGAATGAAAACTTAATTAATTTAGAAATGATCAAAACAGGTTTCATCCGACTGCATCTGAATAAGCCGGTTCGGCGGCTCGTCTTATAATTAGATCTCCGACATCCGCAACTCTCAACTGGGATACATCACCGTCGCTAGTGCTGACGATATTGGAATTCATCAAACCAGCACGCATACTGATACCAGCATGCATGTTGATTGCATCCATCCCATGGCCCTTGAGGCAATTGGATGGTGTGGCTAGATTGTAAAATGGCCGGGTTATAAATAAGATAGAGCTGTGCGGTTGGGTTTCCCTCAAACCTGGCAGCCATTCTTCCCCCTCAGCCCTACAGCACTCCCCTCCCCTAGAGCTTCCTCATCCGTAACTTACAAGATGCGTTTCCTCTCTGACGACCGCAAGGTCGAATCTAAGTCCCCCTGCATGAAGGTCATTGCCGCCGGCCTATCCCGTTGCGCCACTAGTTCCCTCCAAGCCGCCCTGGAGTCTGACGTACTCGGCTACAAACCATGCATGCACATGGCTCACATCGCACCCCACGCCGACCGTGAGAAGTTGATTCTTGCCGCCCTCAAGGAAACCGACCCCAAGCAGCGCCAGAAGATCCTCCACAAAGCCTTCGACGGCTACCAAGCCACCTCCGACTTCCCTGGCTGGATCTTCACTGACGACCTGATGGACATGTACCCGGATGCCATCATCATCCTAAACCAACGTCAGAGCGCAGAGGCCTGGCTACAGAGTATCGGGCAGAGCCTCCAGTTCTTCGGGACCATGTGGTACTACGTGCCTACCTTTCTGTGGCAGACGGATCGGCTTCACTACTGGTTGCACATTTACGCGTATGAGCGTCTCAAGGAAAGATTTCCCAGCATCGATGGCTTGTACACCACACAGTTCTACCACCTGCACAATGAATGGGTGAGAGAGGAGGCCAAGAAGCGTGGGCGGAAGGTTGTTGAGTGGTACCCCTCAGATGGTTGGACCCCGGTCTGCGAGGCCCTTGGCAAGGCGCCGCCCAAGGATGGTCGAGCATTTCCCCGTCTCAATGACTCAGCCCAGATGAAAATGGTCAAGAGGATCCTCGTTGGAAGGGGGCTTATCTCGTGGGCAGTTTTGGGAGCCACACTGTGGGCGGGGTGGACATATGGGCCAGGTCTGATACGGGAGCATCTGTAGATTCTTCAGGCAGTTTGAGGGATACTTTCGCCAATGATTGCATAGTTTCTTCCCTAATTTGTTTATTTTGAAAAATATTCTTGTCAATCCCATCAGGTTTCTACTATAATTCGTTATTGAAGGGATTTTGTTGTTAGATGGAACTTAGGCCCTGTCAAGCTTGCGGACAGTGGTCTACATCTCCAGCGAACACTACCAGGGCTTACCTTACCTGTTTAGCTGAGCAATATCAGTCCAAACGCATCAAAACGAAGTGAAATCAGGTAATGTTTCAAATTAATCGCTTTTGAGATAGGGTGAGCTATGAATGACAGACTCAGTCATTAAAATGCTTCCATCTTCATGAGGCGCCACATCTTCGATCTCCATATCCAGCAGCCACTTGGTCCTACTGTCTAAGAATTATACAAAATACTTGATACCAAAGCCCATGTGTTTATTGTAAGCGCCATGTATATAATTGCTATAATTATATAGGTGTTTTAGGTTGTTGCATAAGACGCCTAGTCTTCCTGAAAAATATTCTTTACATCGATTTTTGGCAGCTCAGAGCCGGCGGAGGAAGATTGATTAGCTTTGACTCCACTGCCAGCATCTACTACCAAAATAGATCGAATATGACCGTCCTAGTATAAAGCTTTTCAATAAACCCCCCTACCATGGCCGAGTTGCCAAAGTCTTAAGGTTCGAGTTTACCAACAGGCTTTAGGAGCAAGGCGAAGGGCCCAGCACTTCCTGCATGTTCGCCACCTGGTCTCCGAACCGAAAGCCAGGCTTTGTCCATCTCTTCCTACATTTTAATAGTGAACTCCAGGTCTTCATATTAGTGTAGTCTGGTTTAGGGGGCTCTTCTTGAATGGACCCTTCAGCAAGATTCAATTTGGCACGAGTAGAAACTTCCATCCAGGTGGAAGCACACCTCCAAACTGAATAGTAATTAAGAAGAAGGGTATCACTCGGAGCCAAACCGCGCATATATGAGATTGAGTTCAAAATGCCCATCGCTTTCACAACTACCGGTCTCACTGCCTGTGAGTGAATCAGCGAAGTAATTGTTACCATCGGCAAATACAGGCGAAACAAACTTCGTCCTAAACTAGCCTTCTTTTCTACTTACACAAGTATAATCATAACTAAATCACATGCACCGTGTAATACCTGTGGTGTGATTGGTGCTCTATTACTACACCGCGAAATCTCTTTACAAGTAGGTAAACTGCAGTTGCGGCTTGAGCGGCCAAGTCAACAACGAGGTGGTCGCGAAGGGACAGTCGACCTATCTAACCCGACAAGCTTTCCATTTGACTCAAGTCG